AGAAGAATGGATCTTTGGAAGCAACCATTCCGACGATCCGGATTTCAACAGAGTCCGATCGGGATTTGAGAGAAGCGGAGAAGAAAGAGGCCGAGGATGAGGCCAAAGTGAATTCGCCAATAGCTGTTAACGGGAATGGGGGCCCGCATCATGTGCTGAAGCAAGCGAACGATCTGGAAAGGCCTGTCCAAGCGGCCGCAGGTGAAGGTGACAAGAAGGACGAGGATGCATCGTCTCCTGGCTTACCTTCAGAGCCGTTCTCTTTCAGCAACAAGCGGCTATGTGAACGGTGGTTGGATAATCTATTCATGGTGCTGTACGAGGTGAGTCTGTGGCGGTACTCAGTTTACCGATGTACCCTCATGACCGGATGTAGGATCTACGCGTTTGGACAATATTCAGGGCCGAAGTTGCTCATTTCAAGACGCAGCACGTTGCCTATCGGAAGACAGGGCTTGAGTGGGAAATCCTAGGCGATCTTGGGATGCGACTACACCACAAGGAGGAGGCGAAGGAGGCGTATCAGCGGTGTTTGGATGCACCACGGTATTCGCAGAAGCCGTGGGCAAAGTTGATGGAGATGTATGCGGAGGAGGGGGATATTCAGCGGTCAATACAGACGGCTATTCGTGTGGCTGCATACCAGTATGCTGATTATACGGAGATGACAGTGAGTAACGTTTTCTTAATGTATTGGTTAGATCAAGGGGTATTGATGTTCGTCTTCCCAGTACCCCACGCAGATCGCCCGAAGCTTCTTCAAGCTCGGCGAAATTCATGGCCACGCCAAGATCTCCAACACGCTTATAAGCATGGGGTTGCCTGATTCTATTTACAAAATTATGGACAATTATCTCCAATATGGTAAAACCTTCAAAGTAGAAGGGTATGATTTCTGATTCTTTTTTTATATCCCCTTTACTTGTCTTTATTCTCACATGTAATCTTTGCTTTTTGAGCCTCATGGATATATATTTCTCTCGATTGGTCGACGCTGGAGGCAGAGTCCAGAAGGATAATCCGCTGCGCTTGACACCCCTGGTTGCCATCTTCCTGTGATTGAGGAGGAAGCGAAATGACATTCAATGTGAGTGTTTAAGAAGATGGCAGCGGCTAATTCGGCCCGAATGTCATCCCAAAAGGGGCGATTAGTCGACGTAAACAATTTCCAGTACAAAATCTCATAATTGCCCAGCGACCCTTGGCTTGATTTCTTACCACCATGTCCCGTTCTCCGTCGATGCATCGTCTTTCGTCGTCGAGCTCCAAGGAGCAGCAGGACCTCATCAATGCGTACGAAGCTGAAGAAGAAAGGCTCATTAACCTGCTGTCGAGGAAACTGGAAAAGGTGTGTCGTCGTCTTCAGTGACTCGATGGTGACGGGCGGCTGATGGACTCGACGGTAGTTACGCGAGGAGAAGATTGAGCTCGAGAATACCCTTGAGGCGGAATCTGAGTCCCATGTCAACAGGCTGTCGAGGCAGCTCACCGCCCTGCTAGGTCAACACGAGAACGGCGGGAGCTCGTCGACTCCCGGAAGGGCGGGGTCGCTGAGTGATCCGAGCGTGGAAACGATGCTGGAGTCGCTACGCCGTGAAAACGAGCAACTGAGGAACCGCCTCGTCGATACGGAGCGAGACTTTATTCGGGTGTCGAGGCTGAACGACATATACCGGGAGGAGCTCATTGAGCATAGGATGCGCGTGAGCGACCGATTTTTTTTCACCGGCTGAATTTATCTCTGAATTGCTCTCTCTGTATAGTTGGGTGTACCGGTCGACAACCTTGTAGGACTACACTCGGCAGATCCTTTCTCTCAGCCATTACATCGCAAACCGTCGTACCCGAATGCTTCGCCGTCCAACTCTGTCCTCCATATACCCACTCACCGCTCATCGACCCAGATTCCAATAGCCCGACCATCGTCTATTAGACGAGTCAACACGAATCCTTCTTCGGAACAGCTGTCTGAAACCCAGTCTCCGGAATCGCCAGAGTCTCCGTTCCCTCCTTCACCGTTGATGTCGACGAATAACGCCAGCGTCGTGAGCAATAACACGAACATGACGAGTCCGCCCACGTCGCTTTCGGTGAACCCCACAGTCACCTTCGCTACGCCTTCGAGGGGACTCACGTATCCTTCTGTTCCACCGCCCTCGTTGTCTTCATCGTTTGGGTCTCCAGTGGTAACTTACCATCGGGATCACTCGCTCTCACCGGTTGAACCTCTCAGCCGGCGGAGCTCCAGCGCGCGACGAGGGAGCTACGATTGGCAACCAGGACCCAGCCGAAGCCAGAGTCATAGCCGGCGAGCGAGCGTGGAGCGTGGAGCCAGAGTTGCTGAGACAGGAACTCTTGTTCCGCGGAGCAGGGCTGGCAGTCATAGTTTGCCTGCAACAACGGAGGGTGACGAGATCTTTGCTGTTGAGCCATAATTAACTGGCTAGGCAAGTCAGCAAGCCTGAGAGTCGGATCAAGAAACTCTCCAGGGCTGTACATTTTGTGACGGACGTTTTGTACCGTTATGAGTCCCTCATCATTGTACATCTATTCTTTTTCACCATCTCCCATATATCCCCCAATAGTGTACAATGATAATGCATACGATACCTTCTTCATTACGTTCAATGTAGCTTATATCCAACATTTAGCAATTATTATGCACACTGACCAATCTTTTACTGTAAGGACCAGTACAACTTGGTAATGAACCTGGCCCTTAACGAGCTAATATTCTCACAGTCCTTTGCAGAGGAGATTGACTGGGGGAACATGAACTGGAGTGGGGGGAGGATTCGGTGGTTGAAAAGTGACGGTAGCCCTCCACACGAAAATAGAGAAAACCAGTATATCCGAGTTAAAGCACTGAAAATCCTTCCATATACCTACTGGGGATGGCCGTGAGCAAGCGCCACCATGTCTTTGTGAATCGGGTTACAAGTTGCGGGAGTTGCGGTTTCGAATGCTAAATATAAATTCAAGAAAATACTCTATTACCGTCTACTTCGAGCGCTGTATAAGAGAAGTAAGCCTATTGGGAAGAAAATGCACTTCTTTGAATGTGAGCTACACCTGAATCCGGATAATACGAGTTAAATGTTGAATCTGAAATATATGCTCAGCTACCCTTAAAGGGTTCCGTGTAAAACTATGCAGGTTTGCAGAGTTCGTGAACTGGACCACGGAAAAGTTACGGCTTCACAGTAACGCACTTCTTTTTGTGAGTGATCTGAACTTCAAGTCTTGCGGAGGAGTTTATAGCGCTTAAGGGTTATTTTGGGGATATCGGAGAGCCGTTTAGTATGCCTTGCAGGTTTCACAACCTCGGTTTATAACGAATCCCGATGCTTCGTGTCACAAAACACTTGCGACTGTCAACCTTTATGCAAAAGGCAGCAAGTCGAGCACACCGCCCTTACCATGCTTCTTTGATAGCAAGTTCATATCATTTTCACATTCCATCTGTCAAGGTAAAATGAACCAAAGGCAGACCTCTGGCTAAGATTCGGATGAGACCGTGCATAGGCTAGATGCACATAATGATTTAGAGGGAAATGTCAACAAAAGTAGGTCGATGGTCGCTCATGAGAAGTCCATCATCGTTCAAGGCAGAATCCACTTTGTATGAATTGGCGGTCCTGCAACCCATTGAGTAAACTTCTGCGGCACAGGGGAAAAAAAGGCATCACCATCCACCATTACTTCCCCCAAAGACAAAATCAATCCTTGTCCATTTGCTCGTATCCGCTGGACCCGTCCATCCGCTATACGTCGCATAGTTCTTCGACACCATTCGTCGCGGAGCCCGACCTCGGAGATCTTCCATCACAAAGTCCTCCAGCTCGTCGCTAACACCGTACTTTGCCGCCCAAGTTGCATTCATAGCGAAAAGGTCGTGCGACCCTGTGATGATTTCATACGCTGCAGAGTCATCTCCGGTAGAAGGACTGAATGAACAGTTCAATTAACAACACGAACTAGAACGTCAGTGACAGAATACCTGTTAAAATCGCCGGTGACAAATACCGGTCCATTGGACTGGACTGCTTCGTATTTAGCGCGCGTCAGGACCATCGAGGCACCTAATTGCCGTTGATCATCAGATATATCATCGAGGTGAGTGTTGATCAGTGTGAAGGTCTCGGATCCGGTAGTGAATCGAGCAACATTGGCGATACGATAGCTCCCTGCACCAGGGTACTTTGATGGCTCCAAAGGTGTATTCCTATGTATAACGGTTACCGTTACCATCGAATACTAATCATAGGGAGCTAGCGTACGATAGCCAGAACGTGTCGTTCCAGGACAATGTGACGTCGGACCTGTTAACAGGAATGAGATTGAAAAAATGAATACCAAGATGCCAGGACGCACGTCTTGTAGAAAATAGCACTGAATTCCCCGGCGACGACACCGTCATCACGTCCTACACCGACCTGTTTACGACATCAGACACAAGGACCTTGACGTAACAAAAAGCATACGTAGGACCACCCGTCACCAAGCAGCTCAACGAGATCATTGACCTGCCGGACTAGTGCCTCTTGTACACCTGTGCAGACATATATGAGTGTTTCGAAATCCAAAAATAAAGTCACAAACTAAGAATAGAGGCACCCTCGTTCAACACATGCTCCGCGACGCGAATCCTACGCGTGCTCCAGGGTTGTTCGGCGCCATTCGATATACCGAGGTAGGTAAAGGCCTGCAAAGGATCGGAGAGGGAATCTATGGATTCCTGGACAGTGATGTCATTTGACTGCGAATCGTATCGCAAGTTCCAGGTGCCTATTCGCAGCGCAGATACCAGAGAAGAGGTAGCGACAAGTAGGACAGCAGTGAGAGAGAGCATCCTGAAAACACAGCAGCCCCAGACAAGAATTGTCCCTTCGAGGTATGCATTTTATACGTGTTTGATGCGTCCAGATGCTAAGCGAAGAACGTGAACAAAATGAGGGTGGATGCTGCTTCGATGAAACACGTGCAATAGAAAGAACAGCATGGATTTCGTACCAACTTCTGATCTCTCAACAGCTTGCAGTCCCTCGGTGCACGTTCTTACTTGGTACCGATAGGTGTTCTGATAGGTACAGCTTGCCTTGAGAGCCATATGGCGCCCTAGGACATATTGTAGGCCGTTCTACGGACCTAGTGCGGCGTCGGCGGTGCGGTGCACTGTAGCAGAGAGATAGAGGCTAGATTTAGAAGGAATGGTGTAGAGTAAACGGGTAATATGTCAGCTTCGTCAAATGCTCTCGAGTCGGACCGGCTGCAGAGAGTGAGAAGTGTGTAAATACTGTGTCCGTTTTCAAGGACCGACATTCTTCCGTATGTTATCATTGCTCCCAAGTGGCCGATTGTACTTCGAGCATTTTTGAACTGAAGAATAGCATCTGTATGAACGAATGGCGTTCTTACCCATATACAATTAAATCATCGTCCAATTAGCCACCGCTAATTTGCAGGGATCGTTTTCTTCAGCCAATCACTTAAATCATCAAGCACTTTTGCATCCGCGACCGAATGACCGAGACCCTGATAGATGTTGTAAGTGATTCCATCGCTCTCGCTTGTCTCCGTGTGCACTGTGTACCCCAACTGCTTAAGAGCAGCAACCGACGATTGGGAGCGATCCAACGTTATGATGCGGTCTTCTGACCCGTGAGCAATAAAAATAGGAATAGATGTGGCGTATGGAGTTATATTCTGCTCACGATCAGCGTCTGAACAAAAATAAAACGGATAAAGATAAAACACGCCTTCTTCAAAGATTCTTCGACGAGCATCCTTCCGCTTAGCATTACGATACCCCCGAGCTTCTCCTTGATCGTCAAGCCCATGAACAATGACAGACTGGCACCTTGGCTCAGTCCGCCGAACACGATGCGAGTCGATTCGATGCCACTGTCAATTTCTGTTTGCATCAGCTGAGAAAGGGATTTGATGGACTGTTTTATCCCCGGCTCGTCCTCCGCTGCATTGGCTTGGAACGCAGTGATGTCGTACCTATATAAAAACGTTTGAATATCCAACCCTCGTACATTAGATGACATTACCATGCAGGTATGGCTCTTCCGCCACTGATTGTAACTGGACGAGTTGGGCTGCAGACCTGAGTTCCAGCTTCGAGAAAACAGGAAACATTGGCAAAACTTACGCATGGGGAAGAATCCACTTGACGTGGCTTAATGCGGGGTCGGAACCGACGTATTGGGCTACAGGCATCATGCCATTCCCCGAGTCGCCCAATCCCTATAGTTATTAAACATAAAGCTTTATTCAGTGGAAGATGGAAGCGAGCTCACGTGCATCAGAATTACAGTCGCTGTATGTGTCGTTTTTGCAGGAATGGTCAGGAACTGCAGAGCTTGGACCATTGCTATTGGGATGCTTGTGGTTGCCTCAGAGACCTACGCTTTCGCCATTAGCCGCGTCAAAATATGTATCGAAGAACTGACCAGTTCGCCCAGTACACTAAACTTAACGACGAAAGCGAGAACGCACGCAAAGAGGAAGCTATACAAGTAGAGAGACCGAAAAAAAGCGGGGAAGAACGTTATCATAGACGCGCCAAGATGAGAAGAACCTCATTTGTATTAGAGACTACGCGAAAAAGATGACTGGAATGAGTAAGCTTTAGTCAGTTGAAAGGACATGAAATTCAGAAAATTCACTTTTCTGGGTTGGAAATCCCACGCAATTGCCAAGTGGTACGATGCGTCGCACCGGGGATCGCAAAGATCGTCGTGATCCGGCACTGGTAGCTGTTCGACAAACAGGGACACCAATGGATTAAGTATCTGCTGACCAGAGAAATGCGATGAAGAGACACGCCGAAACAAAGCGTGGAGAAGGAATATGCGGGTGGCTCACAACGAAAATGTGATAGTGTGACGCAGTCCAGGGGGGCCCGGCCCACCTTTAAGGAGTTTTCTTTTGCCTCCATAATGGTATGTACTCCTTGATCGTATCCTGACTCATCATGAATGGGGCATATTTTTGTACAGACTCTGTAAATACATGAATCAGGCAAAAGCCCATATACGCCTTTCAAAAGAAAATCGGGCTTCGTATTGCACGTTAAACGTCTGGAATTGAAGAAGTACGAACAAGCTCACCATAGAGTATGCATAGCGATCCAAGTACCATCGCGCCGCCGGAATACATCGTTACTGCAACCCAGCTTCCCCCTGATGCTGAGAAAATTGCACCGGCTATGGGCGCACCCGCCAACTGTCCTAAAAGGCGGAAAGGTTGAGAAACGAGCAAGAAGGCCCGAAAGTTGAGAACTGCTCACCTGGAGAGTTCGCCAATATCATCAAGCCTGTGATAGTCGACAAACCTTCGACGCCAAAGAGTTCAGCGCACACGACAGGAAGAAGACTGATGAACCAGCATCCGACCAATCCACTAAGAATCGAAAATACGATGATGGCAGCGTAGGTCTTGGCGAAAGTCCATATTAAAATCTGAAAGAGCCCTCCAAAGAAAAAGGACGAGAAGAACACGTTCATAGGGCCCAAGTAGTCAGCCAGTTTCCCCGCCAGGCTCTGTATAGGCATAAGTTATCAGTTAATCGGACGCGGCTCATCAAAAGTCAGCCCTTGCAGTGAGCTTACGCGACCGAATCCAGCTATAGGAGTGGATCAGGTTAGTTATGATACATGAAGCAACATCATAAATAAGGAATACGAAACGGAGCGTACCGCTGAAGTTCATCAACACCAAAGGGACCACGGGTTTGAGAGGGTCATGTGCGATAGAAGGTACGAATTGTTTTGTGTAAGTAGTACTGAAGTAAAAAGGCGCCTAGTAAACCATCCACCTCGTCAGAAGATGGATCGCTAAGCATAAGATAAAACGCACCAAGAAGCCAAAGATACCAACAAAGACACTCGTGGCCACACTATAAAGTCGGCCGTCTACGCGTTCAGGTATCCACCGCTTCTTTTGTTGCACTTGATCTGGGCTTCGGCGTTCCTTGATGAGACACAAAGCCACGATCCACACGACACCATGCATGGAGCTATAGATTAGCAAAGTGTTTCTAAACCCCACTTTCACCAGTCTACACAGACATTAGCATTGCGCCGATAAGGAGTCGGAAAGACGTACAATTTTCGCACGACCAGTGACTGTATTCCGCCACCTATCCCTGCTCCGCTGACTGCCAGTCCCGTGGCGAGACCACGCTTCTTGAGGAACCACTGCGAGGGCAGGGACATATAAAGCGGCATAGATAACCCATGGGATATTCCTAGGAAGACGCCTTGAAATAAGAAGACGTGAAAGAGCTTTGTCGTAAATGCCGAAGCTAGGAGGCAGAGATAAGCGAGAAAGCTGCTTAGGGCAATCAATCTCTATGCAAAAAGCGATAAGTATCTACCGCCCGCGAGTGAAATCTCGACGAGCGAACCTTGTATCCACTATATAAGGCAAGAGTGAGAGCCAGACTAGGAGGAATGCGGCAAGAACATACTATCGGTCTCCTAGACCGCCTGACAGGTACGCCGTAAAGTTCATTAGCTACCTCAAGGTGAAATTTCGAGGGCGTCACCGAGATATAGAAGTGCACTCACAAAATTTTGCAATCCACCCGCCAAGCTGAGAATACTCAGACTAGTATTAGGGAACATGTTTGTGTGGTAATAATCTTGAAAAACACCCCATGTAAGACCGTACGCCCTAGTAATGGTGGTTGAGTCAGTATCAGGTTGAGATGAGCGATTTCATGAGACGCACATGATTGTAGTCGCGTACATGAAACACCCCAGGACAACCAACCATGCACGAAGACCACCATCCGGGTATCTCCAATCCAGGGAATCATGCTTCTCTGCATCAATGCGCTGTTCTTTCATTTCCTGGGTAGGCTTGTTCTGGTCCAGCGTGGCTTCGGCAGGAATGTTGTAATTCGAATGTGTCGTCGCTAAATCGAGGTGGGAAGCCATGGTTATCCATGCAGGGGCAGCTGACGAGCAGACTAAAAAGAGAGGAAAACTTTTAGTCAGTCAGCTGGAACCGGGAGTAATGATTAGCCAGTGTCACCTGTAGTCAGGGCGGTGTATGTTCTCATTCTCATGTTCGACCTCCGGTTGCAGATCGGACTCGGTTCGGATAGGCTAGTAAATTTAGGGGTTTAGAAATGGCGTTCGGTGTCCTTTATTCGATGCTCACGTATTTGTAGACATGGTGATAGAATGAGCACATTCGATGGATGCCGACACTGACAGCGTTGAACCTTTTGAGGGTCCCAAGCAGTGCGGCCATTGTTAAAACAGACACAAAGTAGTACCTCACGCGGAGCAAAACAGCCGCAACGCAGCGCTGTTGCTCCTGCCGCTCTCGGACCTACTGTGTTGGTGATATATAAGACGAGCACGAGACGAAAACAATTATTATAATTTGTCTGATAGCGTCCAGTATGCCATTAAAATGAACGGATCTAGTAACATTTCAGAACAGTGAGAAACAAGGAGAACGAGATACTGACTTCTAGCCTCGTCTAGTGAACAATTGTAGTATGTATATAATCAATGTTTTCAACGTAAACTTCAACCTCGCCAAGTCCAGCTAGGCGATCAACGTGGAGGAGATTCTTGCGCTAATCGCAAGGGAGTCGGTCGGTCAACAGCCAGCCGGTGCAGGGAGACCAACGCTGAATCATTGCACTGCGTCAATAGTCCGTCTTAAGCCGCAACTTATTACAATATATAGCGCGATGCTCACCAGCGAATTCTCAGCAAGACGCCTACCGATGAGTCCATTGCGTTGATACCCGAAAATACTTGGGTATCCGAGTCGAAAGATAGAGATACGAGAGTCATTCGTTTGTCGTTTGTGTATTATGGTTGATTATAGAACGAAAGAACGGTTTTGGCAGCACAGAGAGTTCGGCCAGTTTATTGAACTTCTGCGATAGTCTGAAAATCCTGCTTCAAGTTGGTACCATGCCGCCATTGGCTTAGAGAGCGATATTTCAGGCATTTTGGCAAGCAGACCTCGTCGTTACTATCGCTAATATGCTGGCAGTGCATATCCTAAGGAACGACCAAAATCTGTGGTCAGAGTGAATCCAGCACGCATCATTCACGATAGCAGGCCAGAAAGGCGCGGAGGTCGACGTCGACGGTTTTGAAAGCCTAGCACGGCGCACACCAGGAATGATATCGATATCGTCGTCAGGGTTGACGGTGGGGGGGGGGGGGGGGGGGGGCAGTCGACGTCACCGTTACCGAACAAGTTTGATCACACGGGCCCTTCGTTCCGGACCACCACCACCGTCTGCCATCATCGTCATCGCCGTCCTCGTGGCACATTCTCGCGTTATCGGACCAGGGATATCGCATTGAAGTACATGTTGCTCCTTCGTTGTTGTCGAAAATTCCGTTTTCTGACGCCAAGACCTCGCTTTTCATCGTCTGCAGCAGCCATGGGTGCGACTGTGAACACGACCGAGAGGCTAGCCAAGCTCAGAGAGCTCATGGGAAAGAAGGAGAACGATATCAATGCGTACGTTGTCGTAAGTGAGGACCAACGTAAGTGGTGGCCCATCCCTGCATGGCTGCATGCTGATGACCATACATAGACGGCAGTGAATACATCGCGGAATGTGATGAGCGGCGGGCATTTATATCTGGATTTAATGGATCTGCTGGTATATCTCACCTCGATATACCTGTCTTCGGCGCTGAATGTCGATGCAGGATGCGCAATCATCACGCCCAAGGATGCCTTGTTATTTACTGACGGCAGATACTTCTTGCAAGCGGAGAACCAGTTGGACAAGTGAATAGCATGTTTTCGTGGATTCTAGTCAATCAGTGACACGCTCTGCAGGAATTGGAAGCTGATGAAACAGGGGTTACCTGGTACATGTGCTTATCCTGGGAAAGAAATATGAACTTACGTTGTGCAGATGTACCGACCTGGCAAGATTACCTGACCAAGGTGCGTATATGCGCTCTGTACTAGGTCTATTCCTTGATAGCATTCCAGCATCTCGAAGAATCCTCACGGATCGGTATCGACGCGACCCTCATCACCGCCGAAGACGCCTCTTCTCTCTCAAAGAATCTGTCACCTCGCAAATCGACGCTCGTCTCTCTACCTCAAAATTTGGTGGATCAAATCTGGACAGATCGCCCTGCACGAACCAAGAATCCGATTGTTCATCTCGAGGAAAAATTCTCTGGCGAATCCCGCGAATCTAAACTTGGGCGTCTGCGTGACGAGTTGAGAAAGAAACAATGCGCGGCGATCATACTTACGGCTTTGGACGAAATTGCTTGGTTGTATAACCTGCGCGGATCGGATATCGACTTTAACCCAGTTTTCTTTGCGTATGCAGTCGTTACGATGGACAGCGCAACACTGTTTGTTCAAGGAGGTGCACCGGCAGATGTTGATGTCAAGTCTTACGAGGAATTCTGGACCTTCTTGAAAGAGTTCAAGTCGGAAGGCAAAGTTTTAGTCACGGACAAATCCAGTTTGGCGGTAGCCGAGGCTGTTGGAAAGGTGCAGCATCATTCTAGTCTAGGTCAGATTGCTAACTTTGCCTCAGGACAACTACACCCTTCTACCATCTCCCGTGTCTTCATTGAAGTCGATCAAAAACGCAACAGAACTCGAGGGATTCAGGCAGAGTCACATTCGTGATGGCGCAGCTTTGGTGAAATACTTCTCTTGGCTCGAAGATCAGCTCAATCAAGGGAAGAAGCTATCGGAGTGGGGTGCTGCAGGCAAGCTGGAAGAGTACCGAGCGTGAGTCGCCTTTGCGTTGTGTAAAACAGTGCTGGCTGATGATGTCAGTGAGCAAGGTCTGTTTAAGGGTCTAAGCTTTCCTACCATCTCGTCGACCGGCGCCAATGCTGGTGAGGGTCATGTATGCTTTCGTGGGCTAGAGAGTGACTGACTGTGCCAGCTATCATACACTATTCTCCGGATTCGAAGGATTCTGCCATTATTAATAAGGAAGAGGTCTACCTGTGCGATTCAGGAGGTATGTCTACATATTCATCCCGGTTCATTGCTCATTGCATTCATCGTGCAGCTCAATTCTTCGATGGTACGACCGACGTGACTCGAACATGGGTACGTGCTATTCATCTTGTGCCAGTGTGCGAACTATTGCTGACGTCTTACGCATAGCACTTTGGTACACCTCTGCCGGAGGAAATTCGTGCAAACACTCGAGTTCTCCAGGGTCATATCGCGATCGATACTGCTGTATTCCCTAATGGTACGACTGGCTACATTATGTATGTCTCTACCAAATACTTTCCAGTTTGATAGATGCTCATTTCCTTTAAGTGATTCATGGGCAAGACGAGCGCTGTGGCAAGACGGACTCGACTACAGACATGGTACCGGCCATGGAGTAGGCCACTTCCTCAACGTCCATGAAGGACCTCATGGAATTGGTACCCGCATCGGTCAGTTCCATATCTTCTGTATTTAGGATTTGAAATTGACGCGTTCGTGACCAGGTTTGAACGCGAATGCACTTAAGCCTGGCATGACGGTGTCGAATGAACCTGGTTACTATGCCGACGGGAAGTTTGGCATTCGGATAGAGAACATCGTATTGGTCAAGGAGGTTCAGACGCTAAATAATTTTGGGAATAAGGGGTACCTAGGTTTTGAGCATGTCACGATGTAAGTCGGATTGGCCATTCTGTGTCTTCTGTCTGCTAATTGCCCCGTAGGTGTCCGATTCATAAGAAATTGGTGGATAAAACATTACTGACTGCAGAAGGTGCGACTCCTTGCAATGATATGATTTCCAGGCGCTGACCCATCATAGAAACGAAATGGCTTAATGATTATCATGAAGAAGTGTGGCAGAAGGTGTCACCGTTGTTGGAAGATGACAAGCGAGCTTTAGATTGGTTGAAGCGGGAATGTTCGCCCATTTAATCGGAGGTCTTAAGGAATACTGTATGTATTTTTACACGGGAGGGGAAACTACGAGTCATTTTTGTTTTCTGTCTTCTTGAGCTGGTCTCTTAGCCTGTGGAAGCAATCGATTCAATGTATGCTTCGGTTGCGGCGCTTCTGGTACAACATCAGCGCTATATTCTGGACAGTGCTGACCGACTCTTTCTTTTGCAGTTAATCTATAAACTTGATGCATTGATGGTTCGAAACTTCGATTTGTTTACCGAAGCCCATGGAATGCTCTGAACTGCAGCGTTGTTACCTCCAAGGACCCAAGAAGATACGAACAGCATTTAATGACGAAAATCATGTGTACGCGGCAGAGTTAAATTACAGAGTAGAAGTACTATTCAAAGTCAAAGCGTGCATGATAGAGGGCGCTGATACATTTGCATTAGTTCGTTTGCCATGGGTGCATTGGCGCAAAGATATCTCGGAGCGGGTAGCGGTAAAGAGGGACTGCCATTTTGGGACGCCGCCGATTCTTGTTCCCGAACCGTCATGTCCCCCTAAGCCTTTTGTATACCCTTGGTTGTTATCCGCGTCACTGCGCGTAGATACATAAGGCTGTACTCCTTCAACGAAAAATCTTCCGATTACGTCGCATTGAATTGCTTGAGAAAAATCTCTGGAAGATGAAGCTGAAGAATGGTCAGAGTGGGCAACGATATCAATAGCGCTTACTTGAATTCTGATGCGTCTTTTTTCTTTGGAACACTTTTTTTTTCTGATTTTTCTTGCAGGGGTCTTTCAGAAGCTACTTAATCTTGTACTTGCTGACTTTGAGGATCGCGGGCAGCAATAACGAGGAAAAAGTCGCGGTCTTTGTGTCGTTGGTGCCAAAGAGAAACCATGACTCGTACCGGCGGAGGATAGGCCCACCAAGCATTGTCAAATGTGTCCCTGACATCAGCTGTGCCCTGAGAACGTCGAAGTATGATCCTGGGTACATACGAGGTTTGGTACGATCCCTTTATTTTCTTCCTAGTTTTCTTGGTTGAAGGAAAACAGGTGGCCCTTTCTGGAGGGTCGATGCATGCATCTTGCGCTGCGAAGGTCACACGTTCGCCCAGAACGCGACCGGCTTCTACCCTCAAAGGACCCCATCTCGTGCACTTTCCTGCCTTTTATCGAGATCAAGATTTTGATGACCCGATACTTAGCAGTAGGAGAGAAAGTAGTGCCAGAAAGGCAATAGTCTTATCGACCTTTGTCGGCCACCACGCGGCTATGTATCATTTCATTAACTTCACGCCTATCATTGCGTTATTCCCGTTCTAGTCCTACACAAAGATCTATCGACGCGGTTCTCAACTACATTCCTCAAAATCTTCCCCTTCACGGCCATGTGCCAATTTTTCAGCCGAACTACCTTGTTAATGTTCTACAAGAGGCTTGTCACACGTTTCATGTGTGAACTGCATCGTATAGAGACTGTCGAACCTCAAAATATCGTCCTACACCAAACGATGCTCACCCTGAAGCACCATTCATCCCCTTCTGTTCTCCATTGGATGGCTTACATCGGCGTCAAATCAAGATATTTGGATGCCTTGTACTATCCTTCCCATCGGATCTCACCGTCACTTGCGAAATCTTCTATGACCTGCCGTCATGGTATGAAAATGCCATACATTTCTCGTCACCACCGTTATCCTCCAATCACCGTCCTCCTGATTTGTATACTACAATCTCAACAACGATTAGCGATGGACTACATGTTTGGCGTGCAGTTCCACTTATATTGGTTGAATAATGTTGACCCACGAACAGGACGTATCTTAACAAGGTTCAGGCGTCTTCGAAGCGAAGGAATGCAACTCGTTTTACGTTCCCTTCCGCGCTTCTCGGTGCCATGCGAAATTCTATAACGTGTCGACCCGTTCTACTCTAGGTTCCTGTCGCATACAACACAAGCAAGGTCGCGGTGGACTCGTATTCGTACTGGCAAAGAAGCTGGAAAGTGATAATGTTAAGGTTAGCATGATAAATCCATCGCTGGCACTGAGATTTCTCAAGTCGGTTTTGGAGAGGGAATAAGCAGTTAACTTTGGTAGAGAATTTTAAAGACTCTACCGGTCAGTATACTTACAATGTTTTTCGCAATGGAAGAAGGCATTGCGTCTTGGTAAGCCGCGACATCTCGAGCATGCCCTACAGAACGTGAAATCTTGAGACGGCGGAAAGATGTCTAAAATTCGCCTTGTGAGTTAACGGCACTGATGTCAAAGGTTGCCTATGCTTACTCCCGAGTATATGATAGACGAGCCGACGCGCAAGTAGAACCTGTGCTACGGCATAGCCCAAAGCCCAATCTCAGGTATCGACGATTTGGCGAGATCAGTGTTCGCCAGGGTACCGAGAGGAATTGACAGTATCAGCGGAGCGTACAACCAGCTCTTCTGTCTACCTTTTCCCGATATCGTCCCCCGTACTCGCTGATCAGTTCTACATACCCTCGTTGCCCTTCCGATCGCACCGGATAGCCCGTACATTTTATCGGCGATAGGATGAGATCCTTCAGATATGTACATATTCTCCACCAAAGTTTCCTACCTCAGACCTGACTTTTCAGGGTATTTCCACAGGAAACATCCTTCGAAAGGGTATTTTAATTCAGACGCTATATCGAGGCTGTGATGTACGACATACATAGGACGCCGCGTTTGACGTTTGATTCCGCGTGCTGTTGTACGGTGAAAATTATCTGTATTGCCAGGCATGCAAGCCGGGGAAGAGCTGGAATGACAGGCGGTATGATTCTTGACTGTATTCGCCGTTCGGCGCCAGGCGAAGGGTCAGCTTTCAGTCAAGCTTATCTTATTGGAAGCCATCAAAAGCCGTTAAGCTGGACACACCACACCAAAAAGGCACTTTCTAAGCAACCACCATGAGCAGTCCTGCGATGACAGACCAGAAAAAGTGAGCATTCGTAGCCCAACTTTCCAGACCCTCCCTCACGTCCGTAATTCTAGAGAATTTCGTTATTTGCAAAGTGCGCCCCAAATTCGACTCGATCGAGCTGGATTTCATATATCTCGTCATAGAGGTGGAAGTTCATGACTTCCAGGCGCTGGCCAGAAATTATTCCCATATATACATGAAGATTATCGCCGGAGGCACTGTTCGCAAGTCGCCCACCTATGAAATGAATTCCCAGTCGGTAATCATCTGGCCTCTGAGTCCTGACTGGTAGGCTCCAGATTACGCGTCCCATTGATTGTCTTTCTGATTATGCATCCATTTAACTAGGATTGACCTTAGCGCTTCAACGATTGTTAAATTTAAACTGTACAGGCCTAGTCGAATGTGGCCGCCGGCGTCAAGAACGCTCTTGGGGCATACAAAGAAACCGATATCCTATGTCGTGGGCAGCAGCTGTACGTCATCTTTCACATTAGTTGAACCTATTCAAATTGTGTCCAGGTACCACGTTCGCCCTTGGTAGCGTATCAAATTTATGTTCGCTCAAAATATTCTGTTCCGACGATTCGAAAGGGCCCGCGCCCACGATCGGGGAGGTATTCAAGGTGATGGAGCCCATAAGGTCGATGCCTGCTATGCTAGGCGCAAGACTGACGTCCAATGTCGTCATGGAGGTCCGTTTTCACACAATAATACTGTAAATATCGATGACCACGAACTGAGTATAGGCACCTCCGGCAGCTCAGATCGTGGCCGTAGATACTACCATTAAGATGGAAGACACAAGTATCACCGCTGGTCCGGCAACTGAAGACACGAATGCGGCCGCTAGGACATCAGACAAGATACAGTCAGTGTGAATTGTCAATCTTGATGACGACCCTCCCAACTCACAAACATGTTTGCCCAGTTACATTCAAAGTTAGTGGTGATCTTGTATCTGATCAAAGAACTGAATCTCATGTACCTCATCTCCCAGAGGTAGAGGTACATGGTCTTGCGGCGCTATCCACGAAGTATCGAATATACCTTGAGGTAACCATCGGGGAAAGTCTGTACAAGACGCGTGCATATAAGATGCCATCGCAATCCTTGCCGAACTGGTCGGAACCCGTCAATTTGTGGGTTCCATTATCTTGGGAGTATTCTCCCAACTTATACTTCCATGACAGAGGTGCCCACGACCGTTCAATGAATGTGAAATTTGAGCTCTTCAAGAATGCGAAAACACCGTTAATGCGAAAGATAAGCTTAGGGTTCGCAGAGAGCCAGATAGCGGTGGTAAGTTCTTCATATTGTCAATGTCTGTCACTCGACGATGAGCATGTCCTCAGAAATGATCATATCCGTTCTAAACAGCGAACCTGAGCCATGGCCGATATTCTCGCTCAACGTCTTCTGCTCTGACAATATTAGGCAGGTCATGACAGACCTCGTCCAAGACACCCCGATGCCCAAGACCCCTCTGGATGGAATCGGAAAAGTACTCGATGCTATGAAGCCCATTGGGGTTGTCATTGATACGATAGCAGATGTGGGCTTTGAAATTTATTGTATACTGTGCGATAAATTTGATGCTAATGATGGATTAGTTACATCCTGCGGCAAAAACCGCTTGGAGCCTAGTGTCAATCGGAACGAAGGTAGGTCCCTGCGTTCCGTATGATTATTTTTCTGACGCATCTGCTATCATATCGCTTATAGCCCCTACGAAAGCTGATGGAAAGTGATGAGATTGTCAGGAAACTCTACGTCACCATGATATCGACATACGAGCAAGCGATTAGTCAAGAAATCTTATCGAAACGAGAGAGCCTGAAGACCGTTTATGATGCCCTATTCCAGCACACCATTGAATGTTCCACGTTCATTCGGGGCTACGTGAATAAAACAAGTTTGGCAGGTGCAGTATTCCATATTACTTTATTGACAGATATTCAAAGGCTTCCCTTAGAGCGAATAACCCGTGCATTCCTTTCGGACACGGCTGAAGAGTTTTGTGAAGGTTTCGAAGATTTACGGAAAATGTTGCTGTTAAACATTGTAGCAGAAGCTCTCGCTGTAGCACTCTCCACGCAAGAAGACGCTGAGGAAATTAGTAGGTCTTTGATTGTGTGCATGAACACATAAATTCAACAATATGTTTAGAAATGCGTCAAACACTCCGAGAACTTCGTCCACCGAAAAGTCTCAGAACCAAATCAAAGTGCATGAAAAATACACGCGTCGAAACCATCAAGTATCTCTTGACCTGGATCACAGAATTACGTGGAGGTATGCTGTGGTGCAGCGGCTTGGCCGGGACAGGGAAGAGCTCGATCGTGGGCACGCTGCATGAACATTTCGTCGTTCACACCAGTGTAAGGTCGGCGGGATGACCGCGGTTGGTTTTTGATCGGTGTTCGTCATTGTGATGCTGCCACCCAACACCCTGTGCCAAATTAAGTCAATCTATACCTCTGTCTTATTCTCGTCTCTATGAATACCAGTCTTCCCAATAATTACAGGCCTACCGTTTGCACTGGGAGGTACCCAGAGAATGGGTGCCAAGGCAACTTCCCTCTCAAAGGCACTCCAGGTCTATGTGAACGATGCCACCTGTTAAACCTGTCCCAAAATTCTCCAGAAGAGCATGCTCGCATTTCTGTAGGCTCAGTTCCAAAGGCTTCCATCAGATGTTCACCGCTATATGACTGATGACCTTTCTCCCAGATTTATTTTCAATGTAATCATTGTGGTGCGGCGAATCGAGAGATTACAGTCAGCTGCTGCTGCCTCCAATGCGCAGTTCAGCTTCAAGGTGAGCTTGTTTTCTTTGATGCATGACCTCTCACTATTGATTCACTAATCTCATTCAGTAGTACAAGAGCATGAAACTATGACAAAATGCGTTGGAGACCTTCCCGAGAATTCCTGTCAAGGAAACTTCCCTTTCAAAAAGGATTACGGACTATGCAATCGCTGTGACATTCTGAATTCTCTTGAAGATAATCCTAATGCACATGTGCTTGTTTCGGCAAGTTATTACGCTCTGTTTTTCTATGACATTTATATTATAATTAACGTTGTCTAGTCATATCCCCAGTGTAGAAAGTGCGGTGCTATTGCAGAGACTATGCCTAACGGTGTGTGTTCCAGCTGCAAAAATATCTCTGTTTCTCCCTATAAGATGCAATGTACTGCTGGGATACAACAGCCTGAACATATGAAACATTATATCGCACCAACCATAAATGATTTGGCAAGACGGGTTATTGCTGATGCCAGGGATTACAGGTCAGAAGCATGGGTCACTCGAATGTATGGACGTGCTACCCAGAGGCATGGAGTTGTGCAGCCCGAAATGTAGACTATTTAGCGCGATAGCCTCCATCCAGTTACCTCTCTGCTGAACTGCTCAAGGCCTCAAGTTTCGCGATCCGGTGTTCAATTCAAATGAATACGCAGTCAAAGATCCTGTGATATAGGAGCATCAGTCTGGCGGCTTAAGCACGTAGGCAATGAGTTATGACGTATTTGAACCTCCCTAATGTTGATTCTGAGAGGTGTAAGTACGTCATAATACCAGGCTTGCCAAGCCGGGAAAGGCCCCAAGATGAGTACACCGGCAATGCGAACAAGAAGTGCAATAATATCTATGAACCTCCTTCAGCCCGAGACTGAGAATGGAGAGAGGCAAGTCATACCAGAACAATCTTTACGACGCGTCGTCGTTGTCATCGTCAAAGCACTTTCGGAACAATCGGGCCGATGTGGCAGTGCTGTCCGTGGATCTGTGGCACGACGCTGTGCCAGGCCCCGGGAAGCTCCCGCCAAGGTTTGTCCGGCAAAAACCCTGATTTTTGGCCTCAAATATGCAAAGATTGGCGCCTAAAATATGCTAATTCGGACAAGGCGTCTCCCGGTCCGTCCGTGGGGGACAGCGCCGTGGGCCAAATTAGGCCAAATTTCGGCGTCCTTCGCCTTGCATTTTCTGGATGAAATTTCAGTGTCACTTCCATCCTTCTTTCAGATCCCAATAGGTCTTCGCCATGCTTCTCCAACTACAGGGATTCCGCCAGGTGCCATTCCTCCAGGCCCCAGAGGCCCTAAAATATGCTAACTACGGACAAGGGTTTCAAATTTTGGGTCTGAAATATGCTATCTACGGACAAAGATTTCTCTTTTTTTGGGCCTAAAATATGCCAAAATCCGGACAAACCTTGGCGGGAGCTTCCCGGGGCCTGCTGTGCCATTGTTGCAAAACCAACCGCGGTCTTCCCGCCGACGGTACCAGTGCACGCAACCGTCTCGGCGCCTTCATTCGTTATGATCGCATTGAATACTCCGACGCGTCGCATCTGATCACCAGTATCGCATACTCGTTGGGGATGTTTGACCGACGTATTGGAGCCGTCATCTTCAAAGTCCTTCAATCAAACAGACATGTTTTGGGGCTGTCAGCAGATTCGGCCAAAGAGCAATTTGACCTGCTTCTCCGACGCCCGTTGGAGAGCCTGCCAGATTTAGCTCTGGAAGGACCGATAGTCATTATCATCGATGGTTTGGATGAGAGTGACATAACCAAGGAGATGCTCGCTGTTTTATTTGGAGGATTTGGATCAAATCTGCCCTTCATGCGATTGCTTGTCTTCAGTCGTCCCATTGAAAGGATATCACACTCATTCCATTCCGTGGATCCGGCCGCTGGTGCATTCCAGTTCGCTTTGGACGCTACTTCGGAGCAATCGAAGCATGTCAAGCGTGATGTCGAGCACTTCATTGATATCAAATTTGGCGAAATTTACAAAGCTGAGCCTCCAGGTAGTACATTCAAAATCACCTGTGAAGAGCGCGACGCAGTGGATAAGCTGGCGCAGCGGGCCAGTGGACTCTTCATCTGGGCTGCTGCAGCTTGCAGCTTTATATCCGCTAATCCCAATGGAAGAATGCTCGATGCGATTCTGGGGAGTAACCTCCCAAAAAATGCCACCGACTCCTTGAACATCCTTTATCGCACTGCTCTGAATACTATCGTGTTTGAATCGGAGCTGGATGACATGGGGAACATCAAGCCTGATAAAGGGTCCGTCAGAGAGGACCTCAAGGAGGACATACTGCGCATCCTTGGTACAGTCCTGGTTGCAAAAACACCCCCGGGAATGACAGCGGTCCTTCTCGATAACATCGTGCTTACCCCTAATGAGGACACTGCAGCACAGGTTATCCTGGAAAAACTTGGCAGTGTTTTACGGCTCCCAAGCACGGAAGACGACGGCTTTATTGAGGTTATTCACAAGTCATTCGATGACTTCTTGAAAAGACCTTTGCCTCGCCAGGACGGATGGTTCATCGATATCGAGGCCCACCAAAGGAAGCTTGCAAAGCAATGTCTATCACGTTTGATTAAATTCCTCGAGTCGTGGGTGCCTGATTCCGCCATTCCATCCTATATCGAGAATTACGCCGTGGTTGGGCCCGTGTGGCACATAAAGTGTTTCGGTGTCCAGGATGACATCAATGATATTCGCACCCTTTTTGAAGAACTGTTGCCCAAATGGCTTCAAGTGGCATTCATGGCTGGTAAACACTGCGACCTCCTCAGTGAGAGGATCGAAGTTTTGCTGTGGGTCAATCGCGTAAGTGGTTGTGTGCAATTTCATTTAGTAGCTGTTTCTGATGATTGTGAAGTTAAAAGATGTGGATAATAGCTTTCGTCTGCTCATGTATCGTGCATGTCAACATGCAGAGAAGGACTTAATACCCAAGATACGGGATGATGAGCCTGTTGGACCCTGTGGGGCAAAGGTCCACTGGCATGACATTCTCGAATATTCACCCCATTTGATGTTCGGGGGTGTCGGTGTGTTTAGCACATCCGCAGACTCTCAAATGCTCGTCGCCGCAACTGAAGACCATACCTCTCTGGCATTTTGGAATATCAGCGTCCCAAAAAAGCCAGCTCTGATATCGATATCTTCGTTTTTCGATCCAGAGGAGTCGCTAGAGGATCCTCAGTATAATATCCTGGGTTGTGTTGTAACACGGTCGGTGGTCGTGCGTTATCCATACTCCCGTCCCCAGGCCCATTGTGACATCATCGGGAGATGCCCAGATGGCACTACAGTGGCGGACCAGTCTGCGACTGTTCTCATATCCATCTGTGACATTCGAACACCTCAAAGCTGCTACCACTACCTTTTCGAAGGCCTGAAAACATACAAGGTTCTTCTATATGTAACTAGCATTATAATCGTCGACATGCAAGCTATGGCCCTCGTGAGGATTGATGTGAATACCACCGACCGACATGTTCACAGTACGCCGGGTCTGCATTCCTGGATCAGGGTGGCTGAAGGGGACGCATTACAGCGGGAATATTCTCCATCATGGGCGAATAGAAATTCGCTACATCATTCTTTCTCTCGATCTGAGTTGGATTCCCCCCTGTGGGAGCGTTACAGCTACGACTCCGAGTTGGAGGAAGCGCCAGGCCGATTCCTCGTAGTCTCGAAAGACGGATCCACACTAGCACATCTTTTTCGGTCAGATCGTAGTCATCGAAATTCAGACATCGTCCTTCGCTGCTGGAGCACGACTACAGGAGATGTCCTTTCCACCACCGCGAACTTTGGGGAATTCCGCGAACATAGACTCGTGTCTTTGAGAATATCGGCCAGTGGCACCACCTGCTTGCTTATCACAAGAGAGTCTTTTGACAACACATCTCTCCATATTGTTCCTTCAAGTTCTGATAACGGTATCGAGTACGATGTGATATATCTCGAAGGAATTGATCAAGCTAGCGTGGCCTTTTTACCCGACGAAAGAAGAATCGCCTACACGACGAACGGTGGCACAAGCAGCGATATGGTTATTCGAGATATACGAGACAAACATGATATTTTCCGCCATCCCTTTCCATACGATGAAATACATGACTATGACGAAAGGCCTTTGGACATCGTGGTCACTCCGGATGGAAAAACGTTGATTACGGTACATCCTTGGGTCATCAGGACCTGGCACATTGAAGCTCTCTGATATTTCCGGTGATAGTCTAATGTATGATATGCGATTTTACCGACTCTACGTAGTATGTAGTACAAATGTACAAGGAATATGGATCGTTATCGGCTGAATAAATCTGGTCATTGAACGAAATGATTGATATCACTGAGACAACCTCGCTGCATCCTCAGGGCTGGATACGAACCAAGGAGGAGAGTGTCACCCCCTCCCTCGGTGCTGTCTCTACTGGTAGTCTACATCCATCCGAGTTGCTGACACGTTGAATCCTGAACAGGCCGCATTGATCTTGATCCAATTCCTTTGTCAACATGACTTCATTACCGCCTTTCTAGTATTGCACGCCCTCGAGACAAAAGCCACGGAGATGCTTAGAAAGAAAGCTTATGTTTTCAGCATTGTTCGGAGAAGGACGAACGCCTGCGTCGTTTGGATAGTCCCGGAGATTTTGGCTCGAGGGTATTCAAAGCGTAGTGAAAAGACGGTGTAGGTTCCTTGGTGTCCGCTCAATTAGTTCACAGATCTCTTCTAAGACGAGATTAGATAAAGGTGGAAAGGCCAATAGAGCTTACCCACGTTATGCACGAACAGTGTGCTTAATCGTCAAATTTGTTTTGTTCTGTTTCCTCATTCGCATCCTTCGCTGCTTCAATCCGGGAGACGTCAGCCACATCGATCTGCACATTGCGATCACACTCGTCCGTTAATTACAGCTCTACCGAAAAAAGGTTAATTGCGTATCTGCCGAAGTCGTCGAAACTCACGTATTGTGCTGCTTTATCAGTTATTACGCTCATTAAAGTCGAATATACTCTCCGCGTACGTGTCCGAACCCATTACTGGACTTGGTGTCAAGGATAAGATGCTGATACTTGTAATTAGTCGCACATAGCGAGAGACTGTACTGATTTGCTCAGGCCACACATATATCATCAAGCTGAATAGAATCCTCGTTGGATCAGTGTACAGCGACAAGACATGGAAAGTGGAGTAAATATTGATATGTGGCGTTGATAAGAGAACTTTTCCGACGAAGAGAAAACTGCGACACGCACGCCACTCCGTTTTGATGATAAAGATCTCGAGGCACGACGAGTCACATATCAAGGTGTAGCAGCGCGTCAAGCAAAGTAGCATTTGGCTGATGAAAAGGTAAGCGCAGGTCTAGAAGTAGGGTATACTATCCAGATTCCAACATACACCAGTATTGTCCAGACTCGCGGATGAGGACTTCAGTTCCAACGAAGACTCCTTGACGTGCGAAGGACCCGAAGCCAGCTATCATCCCCTCAACACTGAGTTGGAAGCGATGACTCTGCCAAGGAATGAGCCAACGACCGATAATAAGGGTTCAAAGGCTCTATGAAAGGTGGTTGGACGTGAGATTGAGAACTTCAAATACACACACACACACCTGCTGTCTCATATTCCGCCAGTGTACCCAAGAATTCCCTTCCAATTCTTAGCGAAAAAAGGCGGTCAAATCATCGATATGGCTTCCTGGAGGTCAACGAATAGTTGAGGAGCAACAGGCATATTAACGTACCTGGTAACAGATAATAACCGCAGCAAAAACCAAACTAATCAGCTATCCTGCCTCAACCGAACGGTCAAACGTTGGAAAAGAATCCGCTGTTGTCATTAATCTGGCGAGACTCCATGCGTGGCTAGAGCATTGCCTTGGTACCATTGTCTCCCCGCTTGATACAGGAAGGGGGGGTCGAGCGACAACAACTGGAGATCAACACGTCTCCTCAGGAATCAGAGTTCTTTGGAAGACGGTGAGGTGGCCATAGTCGTTCGACGACGGGGTCGAATAGGGCCAACGGGGCTAAGTGAAGCTAGATGCACCCGTATAGAAGGACATCACGGTGCTAGTGAATCGTGTTGGAATGTATGACGGACTCATTATTCCGTTGTCTTATTTAAGATTCCACTAATTAGAAACGGATTTTGAGGTCAAAAGAGACGACATACCGACGTATCAATGAAAAGGCTGGAAATTTGCCTACGAAATTATGACGAGAAAAGTAATAAAGCAGTGACGCCTCACAGTTAGGAAGTATAACCCACCTGAGTTCGCGCAATGCTAAAAGTATAATCAACAAGTCCGCGCCGTTTGAATCTGGGCTTGGAAAAGACTCGGGCCGATGCCCGTTTGTCTCTTAGACTTTCATTTCACATCCTTCACGCCCACGGCCCAACGTTTGAACACTTATGCATATGGTCCATGCATCATGGATTAGAGTTTGGCAGTAGCGGAGACTGCTGGAAAGGTGCGCTATGGTTCTGGTCTATGTCCCACCGTTAACTTTGCCTCAGGACAACTACGCCCTTCTTCCATCGTGATGGTGCAGCTTTGGTGAAATACTTCTCCTGGCTCGAAGATCAGCTTAACCAAGGGAAGAAGCTGTCGGAGTGGGGTGCTGCAGGCAAACTGGAAAGTACCGAGCGTGAGTCGTCTTTATGTTGTGTAAAAGTGTTGGCTGATGATGTCAGTGAGCAAGGTTTATTCAAGGGTCTAAGCTTTCCTACAATCTCGTCGACCGGTGCCAATGCTGGTGAGGGCCATGCATGCTTTTGTGGGCCAGAGAGTGACTGATTATGCCAACGATCATACACTATTCTCCGGATTCGAAGGATTCTGCCATTATTGATAAGGAAGAGGTCTACTTGTGCGATTCAGGAGGTATGTCTAGATATTCATCCCGGCTCATTGCATTATTGTACAGCTCAATTCTTCGACGGTACGACCGACGTGACTCGAACATGGGTACGTGCTGTTCGTCTTGTACCAGCGTGCGAACTATTGCTGACGTCTTGCGCATAGCACTTTGGTACACCTCTGCCGGAGGAAATTCGTGCAAGCACTCGAGTTCTCCAGGGTCATATTGCGATCAATACTGCTGTATTCCCTAATGGCACAACTGGCTACATTATGTATGTCCCTGCCGAATACTTTCCGCCTTTGATAGATGCTCATTTACTTTTAGTGATTCATGGGCACGTCGAGCGCTGTGGCAAGACGGACTCGATTACAGACACGGTACCGGTCATGGAGTAGGCCACTTCCTCAATGTCCATGAAGGACCTCATGGTATTGGCACCCGCATCAGTTAGTTCCATGTCTTCTGCGTTTAGGGTTTGAAATTGATGCGTTCGTGACCAGGTTTAAACGCGAATGCACTCAAGCCTGGCATGACGGTGTCGAATGAACCTGGTTACTATGCCGATGGGAAGTTTGGCATTCGGATAGAGAACATCGTATTGGTCAAGGAGGTTCAGACGCTAAATAATTTTGGTAATAAAGGATACCTGGGTTTTGAGCATGTCATGATGTAAGTCGGATTGGCCATTCTGTGTCTTCTGTCTGCTAATTGCCCCGTAGGTGTCCGATTCATAAGAAATTGGTGGATAAAACATTACTGACTGTAGAAGGTGCGACTTGTTGCAACGATATGATTTCCAGGTGCTGACTCGTCATAGAAATGAAATGGCTTAATGACTATCATGAAGTGTGGCAGAAGGTTTCGCCATTGTTGGAAGATGACAAGCGAGCTTTAGATTGGTTGAAGCGGGAGTGTTCGCCCATATGATCGGAAAGTTAACGGAATGTATGTATTTTTACACGGGAATCTACGAGTGGTTTTTGTTCCTTGACTTCTACTCTGTGGGACGTGCCGTTGAACAACTTTACGAGTTTCTTGATGAGAGTAATCAGATTCAATTCATGCTGCGGCCGAGGTGTTTCTGGTGCAATATCTGCGCTCTATTTTGGACAGTGCTGACCGACTACTTTCTTCTGCAGTTGATGCTCCAAACCTCGATATCCTTACTGAAGCCGACGAAGACTTATCCGGAGCTGCAACCTTCTTATTGCCTACGATCAATGATTAACGACCCAGAGAACTTAGAATGACGAGAGTCACAAGGGCTTGCCGGGATTTTAGCCTTTCTAATAATTTCACAGCGTCGCGGCTACCCCCAATCTCAATCTAATCGAACTTTTTTTTCTAGTCAACTTCCAGGAGCAAGTTCAACGTCTATTTCGGCTCGATGCTGCTGAGTCATCAACATTGTTACTACGCTTTGCCATTGTTTACATACACTGCGTCCATTGTCTTTTTCACCCACGAGGGTAGAGCGTGGTATCTGTGACTCTGCTCCTGCAATCACCATGGTTGCTGGATGGTGTTATGATTCCCTCTCTCCTAGCGGGTGCAGACAACCACCAGGGATGTGCAGGCTGCGCCATGACATTACCAAGTGCAGTTGCGGGCTCATTCTTTACACGTACACCTATGAAAGCCATATACGTGGCAAACGCCATCAGAAGATCCTTGCGGGGACCCAACCGCCTGTAGCTAGGCGGAGGAAGGGCGGCGGTCGAGCGAAGCAACCGTGCCCTCATTGTCGTCCTACTCGAGAATTTTGGGAGAACGAACTGCAGGCTCATGTTGCTACGCATACGGTCCAGGAACGACTGGAGACGGTGCTGGAGGATGCTCAGAGGAACAAGAATGGCATCACAGTGTCTAACCTAGAAGGTATCGATTTCGGAATTGTCGATGACGCTGAGCAGCAGCCAGCGACGGTCGTTGTACTGGTGCAAAGAACGGATCAAGATGATACGGGCGTGCTAATTTCCATGACAAAGTGCAGGACGCTCTCTGCTCAAAAGCAGGACGATCATGGCGTAAAGTAAGTTTTTTTTTGTTATGTCATATCAGGGGATGGGTCGCTTTACTTGAAAGATTTTTTTTCGGTTTTTCGTTCGGTGTTTTTTTTTTTGGTGAAAAACGGGAACTTACGGTATGCTCTTGCCAGGTTTTCTGTCGCTGTGAGCCCAACGTCAAAATTCATTCGCTCGTTCCGACCTCACGAGGTCTCCATAACCTTTCATCCATCCTATGCCGGGCGTTTTGAAGATACCCTAGAACTGGTATTCTTCGATGTTTCCCAGCATCGCAGTTTTGTCATCCAGCGAAGGGTCTGTGCCACCGTCGGTGACCCTGCTGATCATGAACGGCTTGCGCCCAAAGCTCCCTATACCCAGCGGAAGCGACGTAACATCGAGTTAGACGGTCCCGTCAAACGGAGCCTTCGTCCGCCCACTTGGACTCCGACGAAATGGGCATACAAGCTTCCCCAATACAACGTTCCTAAGGACCTCGTCGAAACATTGTACACTCCGGAGGGATACTTGAAGAGGACCGCTTCACAGGATGTCAAGCGATTCATGCCTTCGTCGTTCACTACCGCTACGTATGCGCAGCACTTTCAGACACTCGTTTATTTAGAAGAGGAGCAGATGAGGTATGCTTTGACTTCAGTTCTCTGTATTTTCTCCGCTCATCGTTTTACAGGCAAGATCTAGACGCCTATTCGATGGAAGGTGTAGAGATCAAAGCAAACTACCCCAGATACGAGTGAGTATCTCTGTTTCACCTTTCTTTGTTCCTGCTAACCACGTCCAGACTTCAAGTAGATGGACTAGCTGAAGGCCGGCCCTCTGTTCTTGTTGGAGACTTCATCCTTGTTCGTCCCGTTGGCCAGCCGGGCAAAGCCTGGTTTGAAGGGCGGGTGCATAATGTGTCCATGTCGCACGTTAGTCTCCGCTTCAGTGACGAATTCAACACGTATCGCGGAACCAAATTTGATGTACGATTCGTCTTGAACCGTCTCCCCATCCGTCGAATGCACGATGCCTTGGTCAACAAGAACGACCCGGCTCGATTCCTGTTCCCCGGACCTGAACATTTGACGACGGCGCGACCGGTCACTTCGGCCATGTTGGAGGAGCTCGTGCCTCTAAACCGCGTCATTGGAAGGAATAAGGAACAATTGGAGACGGTAGCGGCTATTGTACATCAGCCGAAGGGGAGTGTGCCATTCATCGTGTTCGGACCGTAAGTACACTCTGTGGTATGCCATGTACACAGTGTGATTGATATATCATGTTCAGTCCAGGTACAGGAAAGACGGTGACCATCGTCGAAGCTATAGAGCAGCTTCTCAGACGAGATCCCAATACCCGAATCCTGGCATGCACACCGAATAACTCCGCCGCCGACCTCATCACACAGAAGCTGATGCACCTCGGTGCCACAGATGTATTCCGTATGAATTCAATGACGCGAAAGTTCGGTGACCTCCCCAAGACGCTCCACAAATTCTCCCGTATCAACGACAACCAAGCATTTGCGATGCCGACCCTAGAAGGTGTTCTCAAGTACCGAGTAGTCGTCTCGACGTGCATCTCTGCTGGCGCTCTGCACGGCTTGGGCGTGGAAGCCGGTCATTTTGCGTGCATCTTCATAGACGAGGCGGGTCAGGGGAAGGAACCTGAGATCATGATACCCATCAAGAGCCTCGCCAATAAGCATACCAACGTAGTTTTGGCGGGAGACCTGAAGCAGTTGGGTCCTATTGTCCATTCGAGGTTGGCGAGGGATCTGGGGTTGAAGGAGAGTTATTTGGCGCGGCTGATGCAAAGGCCGTGTTATGGTCTATCTCCGTGGGATGGCGGTGTCAGTGGAGGACTTGGTGTCATGTACGTACTTCCTTCCCTTTTCGTTGCATAAACCCTCCTCATAGTCTTGTCTAGTATCACGCAGCTCGTCAAGAATTTCCGTTCTCATCCTGATATTCTGGCATTCCCGAATGAACAGTTCTACGGGAACCAGTTGCAAGCCTGCGGTGATCTTTTGTTGACGAAGAGCCTGGAAAATTCGGATGAGCTCCCGACGAAGAAGTTCCCGATCGTCTTCCATTCTGTGGTCGGACGGGACCAGAGGGAGGAATCGTCGCCGTCGTTCTTCAATATTAGTGAAGCGACGCTCGTGAAGAAATACTGCTCATCGCTAATGGCCAAGAAGGGCATACGTAAGTACTTTTTCCTGAGGTGATTATCGCGTCAATAACATGATCATAGGTGCTGAGGATATTGCTGTCATTACCCCATACCATGCACAAAGGATGAAGATCCTCGATCTATTCTATCGAGATCCAAAGTTGAGAGATATTCGCGTCGGAAGTACCGAAGAGTTCCAAGGACAGGTAATCCAAATTTCATCTGCTTTTCACGAAAGTACTTATACCAACCGATAGGAACGCCGAATCATCATTATGTCTACCGTTCGGAGTAATGCAGAGTTCATTACTTCAGACATTCGACGGACCCTCGGCTTTGTTGCGAGTCCCCATCGGTTCAATGGTATGTCTCGTCCACCTAACCTATATTAGTAACATCTCATCCTTGTCTTAGTCGCCGTGACTCGTGCTCAAGCCCTTCTCATCGTCATTGGCAACTCAGATGTGTTGGCCCTCGATCCTATATGGCGCTCATTCATGAATTACATCCATATCAAGGGCGGCTGGCGCGGACACCGGATTTCGTGGGATCCAAAGGCTAGTGTGGATGATTACGTTGAGGGAGTGAGGAGTAAGGCTGCTGGGGAGGCCGAAGAGACCATGGCGCGGTTGAAGGCTCTCATCGTAAGTGTGGGTGACGGCGGTGACGCCATTCCTCCCGCGGATACTGATGATGAGGAAATCGATGGAGGCCTCGGTGATGGATTAGTCCTGAGAGAGGAAGACTGAGCATGCAGCAGCAACACATGGTGTCCGTGCATTGATCTCTTGTAGCTGAATCCGTTTTATTTCTGCAATTTACCCCCCTAATGATGTAACCCGCAAATTTGAGAGAACGTCCATTGCTTGATGCAACATGATGATGGCCTAGTGCACTGAGCATGCCAACGAAGTTAAGGCAAATTTCTTACAGTGGCTGTCAAAAGGATTCGAGGTGCCTTAGGAATAAAATCCCCACCCTTAACTGTGGGATGTCTTGGTAAATGTGACTGGAGGGACGAACGATGATAGCAGTGCCACGTATAGACGCGTGCCTTCAGTTGCAAGTTCGCTGTTTTGGCATTGTGATGCTGACCGCAAGCGAGAGTTCAGACAATCTCGCTCGCTTCAAGCACCTTGTGTGTGATGGTATGTGTGTTAACTCTGTTACCAATGATTCAGGAAAGTCCGGCACTGAACGCCGCCAACCCACTTGGACGTGGTCATTTATGGTATTGGTTTCGTCCTTGTTCATTTAAAAAGACTTGGTTTGAAAGTAGAATACTATTGGTGGGGGCTTAGCCGGCACTGAAGGGAACCTGTCGGTCCGTATCGTTCCGGAACGAACTGCTTTCGTTCTTTGTCAAGGTGACCAATCAATCCAGTTTTCTAGTTTTCTTGTCTTTATCGATGCCGCAACACTCCCTGTGCCATTCACGCTCCACGCTTCAAGGCCCTAAACCCTCAGCAGTTCTTCATGCTGGAAATGCGCTAGAAGCATGGAACGGTTTTTTTTAAAAATTTCCCAGTCGTCTGAGCTTTGGCATGAGACCAATACGCGACGGCCTGGCACCTACAGGGCACCTCTAACTACACAGTGACTGATTTCCGTGATATTCTCAGCATTCGATGATTGTTCCGCTTACCACTAATTGCACCGCTGATTTCGGGGCGCTCGGTATAAAAATATGATATAGTTCGCTCTGCCCAACTGTCTTCGTACTACTCTCTCCATGATGATTCCGCTGGTCGTGCTCTTACTGTTGTTATATCTTACTACTGTTCGCTATCTCAGGTATCAGCGCCTACATGGGGTACAAGCCCGATTCGGATCCTGCGCCACGGCCCCCAGCCCTTCTGAAGCTCAGTCTATTCTACAAGAGACGCTGCTATACGACATGCCTTTTTGCACACGACTCGGAGCTCAGGTCGCCCTGCTCAAAACATACGGAATCGTGAGCTGCTATATACTTACACAGATGTATGTGCCCTTGGTATTCACTTCGACAGCCATCCATCTCGGAACTACTCCTGCACACTGGAGAATTTTCTACTGAACGAAAGCTCACAAAGAGGATAACTGATGTGAGTGACATTGGTTGCTCTTATATCTGAAGTTTCGAGCCATTTTTTCATAGACGGCACTTCTCATCTCGACTTTCATTTCATGCCCCTTGGAAGGGTCGTCAACGGCAGCAAAATCGACACCATGTTTAGGCCCAAGAGGCAATATTGCGCTTGCTAGAATGAATTGGCTTCATTGACGTTACAAGATCGTGAGCGTGGCTGTCTACCAAGGGCTCTAATTTCAGTCTTTGATGAGTTTTACAGTCAAACGATGATTTCCTGTACACCCTGTCTCTTTTCATTTTGGAGCCCATGGTTTGATCTCAATCCGTCCCGTTGGTCACGGCTCATGATTTTGTCAGCGCCTGGTAGCGCGTTATGACTGGCGCGCCTTCAGCGACGAGGAGGCGGAGGTAAGATGTCTTTCGTCTACTCTTTCTGACTCTCATACGTGTGCTGGAAGTGCAATTTTCTGGTATGGAAGGACATTGGCCGACGAATGAGCATCGAAGACATTCCCGAGACCCTCAAGGAACTAGAAGAATGGAGTAAAGTCGGTCTATTTCCACTATCAGAACCACTGATTGAGGTGTCATCGTAGGAATATGAAACTACGTATATGGTGCCATCCGAGAGCAGTCATCGGCTAGCTACTATGGCGCTGGATTACATCGGAAAACGAGTACCGAACGTTCTCGGTGCGCGATTTTTGGTGCGAAGTCTATTCGTATGCATGATGGACGATCAACTACGAATGGCCGCGGGGTGAGGTCTTTGAAGAACACAAGTCACTCATATCTCTGAACGTTGTTTCAGGCTTCCAGCACAGCCGAAATACGCACATCTTTGTCTTAGAACGATTCTTGCGCTTAGGGCTTTCATCATCAGACACTGCAAACTTCCACGATTCAAGCCTCACGAGTATATCGTCATCAAGGATCCACCACATAGCACAGGATCAGATGGACTCATGCGTCTTCATACAATTGTGTAAGAATTTATCTTTTTATTATCAATTTGGATATTTCTGATTGTCTTAACAGCCGGAGACATCATCCCTGGTATTATCCTGCCCCAAAGGGATGGCATTTCCTCTGTGACTGGTTTCTTGGCTTCACTAGCGGAGCCACCTATCCCGGTCCGGCGTTCAAGTCGGAAGGATATCGCTTGGAAGAACTGGTTTGTTTTGGTCACTTGTTATACATCGAGCCACTGGTTACTAAGAATCTATTTCGCAGGGACCAACCCGGTTCGAACTTCGTACGTTCCTGTATCTGATGTTTCCTTCGTTTTTTTACAGACGTCATTTTAGATGGGCATGAAGAAGTGATGACAGAAGCAGAAGAACTTTACGGAGCGCCAATTGAAAAACCTTGGTCCCGTTGATTCTCCTCTGTCGCTCTCAGTCGATTCAAGTCAGGCTCAGTGTTTTGATATCACCTGCGTAATCTACAAAACGCGAAAAATGCTATATACGTTAATGAAACTGCATGCAAGTAGAAGTCTGTCTATGTGTCTAGTTGGGTAGGTCCTAAGCCAACACGCGTGGTCGATTCCAGAGTCTATAGGAGTGAAAGCGCTATTGCAGTTATAGTACTATGAACAGTAATCAAATCAGATCAGGTCATTTGAAATTTGGAGTGTAACTCACGCAGTTGAAATGAACATAAAGATGTCTATGAGTCGTTCATTTTAGCATGATGACGGTGACTTGGGAGTGAAAGGAACTCACATTGTAATAATAGGAAAGCCTGCAATCAGAATTTTCAGCGAAAGCGACAAAATAAAATAGGAAGGCTCACGGATAGTGTGTCTAGGTCGTGATCTTTTGCATATAGTTGTGTTACAATCAGCTGACTATCACGAAAGGATGATCAACATCGTCTCTCAAAGCTCCCCTCAAAAAAATATACTTACTTCACAGCTGACGGCGTTCCGCTCAAAAGCATCGCAACAAAACGCTGCACATCATAGCATTAGCAACGGTCATATTAAAAAAACACTGCTCACCTCGACGAGTGCGTCCTTGGGTATAACACCGCGGTGTGTTAACACCTGTGTAAGAAGTATACCAATTACCGGGAGCAAAGCCAGTTTACAGAACGACACCCAAAACATCGCAGGTAACGGCATTTTACTGAATGGACGCGGGATCTTCATGCGCGCGAATGAAGCACCCAACAAGATCAGAGCCATTGGGACAGTAATGTTTCCGACGAACTCAGCTGTACATGAAGGTAGCTGTTAGAGCAGGAAGAAGTTGGCGATGTACACAGGGTGCTTGCCTGTATTAATGATGAACGTCAATGGTGGATTCCCGTCTGGACCATGATAGTATGGACCACCGTCGACCTCAACGAACAGCGCTTTGAGTTGTGGGATGAGCGAGACTGGGATGGCAATATACATGCTCATCGTGATGGGCGTGAACAGACTCGACAAGGGTTTGAAGGTTCTTCGCAAAAAAGGGGGGAAGAGGGACGCGAAACGACCAGGCTTCTCTTCTTCCTCCTCCTCCGCAAACTCATGTTCCTGTGCACCCGCTACTGATGAGCTCTTCAGACTCTGTACAGCGGTGTCCGGAAGCTCTTTCAAGGAAGACTGGGACGTGTTCGGCGCTGGAAGTAACGAGCCTGCCCGTGGACGAGTACTAACACCAGCAGAAGGTCGTCTCGGTCGAGGAGAATTGGCGGATAACCTCGAGGCCCTGCGTGCAAGCTGTATCTCAGGGTCGGTCTCCATCTCTCCGAGGTCGTTTTCAGGTTGCTTTCCCATGGCGACTGATAGTACCTTTTCCTTACCCGAGTCTGCTTCCTTCTCGTCGTCAGCCTTCTCACAATCAGAATTCTTCGGTCGGGCAAGGAGCTTTTCCCGCGATCGCAGGAAGAAAGCGGCTATGGGCTTTTCGCGCCAGCTGACATGAACGTTGGCTTCGTCGCCTTGAGGTACACCTGGAGCGTAGTCCCAGGCAAGCGTGTTCGCCGCGCCGCCAATCCACATGATAATGTTGTACGCAAGAATAAAGATTGAAACGTACGACACGCCAACTAGGTACAGAAGGTCAGATCCTACGCAAGTGGAAATGGGAAGTTCCATACGTTGTGGGTCTGTATCAGGATCGAAGGGCTTTTGCTCTGTGACAGTGAGAACCACAGCCGTGGCTAGAAAGACCTCGATTCAATGCAAGACAAGAGAAAGATACTCGACGGACGTACGCAAGTTTCCCCAGTTACTCATAGCTGTTGCCATCAAGATCCCAGCCCAAAAATTTCGTGGAACATAACAGAACTCGCGGATGAGCGCGCCGAATAAGAGTCCCAAGGCCATGTAGACCTGAAGATGCGACTCAGAGCGAGCGAATGAAATTACAAATGACTACTCACAAAGGCGACCAAGAAAAGTGGACCCATGGCCGACACGTTTTGCTTGTTGAAGGCAGGGACGATATTCGAGAAGAGCAGGCCAGGCAGCGCGACGTTCATTGTTACCTGTTCTTGAAATTGAGACGAAGCAGTGGGAACACACATAACAGTGTCGCACCTGGGAGGTTCCTCTAGACGCAGCGGACGTGAAGAAACCTTTTCTCGTCAGCCAAAACCCGAAGAAGATGGTGAGGAACCTGGTTAACACTTCTCAGCCAGAAACATGTGTAGTAAAATGACTCCTTACATCTTCAGCAAGGGCATGACGCCCGAATAGATGAGAAAACCTGCAGAATAACCCATTACTGCCAACGGTAACAAAGGGTGGTCGTTCTTTATCGAGTTCCGTTCAGATATACCCTCCTCTGGTGCTTTAAGTTCCGATTTCCGAATATCTTCCGAGTCGGAGTAATTGTCGTAAAGAAAAGCTGGCGTCCTCTTCGGTTTCTCGACACATAGGCTCGAAAAATCGGCGGTTAAGGGGCCAAGAGCGTAACTAGATCATGAGTTACGTGGACGGAGTAAACAAACGTTGTACTGCAGGCACGAGCTCTAACATGAGTGGTGGTTGCGGGAAATCTTTGAACAAAAATATTTGAAATTGATAACATGTCGGACCGTCCGTTCCGTCAGGGTGGTTTCGGCCGACATGCTCAGTTCGGACCTCCGAATGAAAAGGATGCGATGTGATCAGGACACCAGGCAGAGGCGAGTCCCGACAATGGATCTCGATACGTCCTGGCCAAGTATTTTGCGCATACAAGGGCAGTTGACTTTACTTGTATCCGCCATCGATATCGAAAGAAGAGAAGGTTTAGTGAGAGTACGGTAAGGTTACTTGTGCCACGCCACATTAATTGCGCTGAGGGAAAGTTTTCCCGGGTCCGAATGCTGGTCGAAGTGCCTGGCGCCTGCTGGGGCAGGTAGGTAAACTTTGATGACGCACTTAGATTATAGAGTCGTACTACACCCATGAAATCGACCGGCAATGATTCCATGCACCGCCCTTGTGGTTTATCCCCCCATCATGAAGCAACAACTTTTCAGGTCGCCATGTGTTCGATGCTTGAGGCCGGAGAAGGAAGCGACACCTGCGGAATATGAGATAATGGTCTCTCACCACCCGGTGTCTATATCGCAAGGATAAGCGGTAGTGCCTGCCGTGTCCATTCCCTCGTTGCTGCTAAGTTTAACAAACCACGAGGTGACCACGTAGTATGTATGATTCACGTCTAGGACGAGGACAAGAATGAATAGGACCTTTAAGCCTGAGCCAGATTCCAGTCCAGCGATGAAAGATGAAGTGTGAGGAACGATTGTGTGGATGCCATAGCGCCATCTCTCAGTCTACGCGTGCTTGATACATTGTCTAGTCCAAAGAAATCGACGATTTTGACTCACGTAAATTGGAAAGGTTTGTGACAGAAGCTGACGAAAGAAGGGATGGATGAAATTGATGGCCGATTCTGGTGGGCAGGCTAAACCATGTACTTAATGGTTATGAATAGTAGCATGAATGTCTCTGATAGTATATCGGTTAGTACACGCGCCTGTCATTACATTGGCTGAAAATACGCGCGAAAGTTGGGTTCGACTCCCAGTCAGAGAGTCTGTTCATTCTTGAATAGAGACATTTTTGAGCCCCTTCCGCATTCTACCAGTTTCCGATTCCTGAGTTTTTAATATTTATTATTAATTCTGACTTTTTAGTTGACTTCAGGTAAGTAGTTCTTGTTGTCAAACAGATGTCCAAGGCTCCGGGTTCAAGCGCACACAGCAAGTCAGTTTATGTAAACATGAAGCCCACTTCAGCGGTTCAGATTTAAGAAGCCGGATATCCGAAACGGGGAACGTGTCCTTGGCGCGGCCTTCTTCATTTGGAACGACGGCTCATGTTCACTCTCGCGTTTATGACTTCCTGTGTATTCTCTTCTGTTGAAGACTTGAAAATTCTTTACTCGATCAACAAAACGTCGACAGCACGTTTGTCAGACTCGGAGTTGGATCCCAATGAGTTCCAACATCGATAGCGCCACAAGAGACCGCCGGAAGCGATACCAACCCTGGGCCTTATGCGGTGGCCTTATCACTTGTCTTTGTAGATGACTCGGATATCATTGATTCCGGGCTGCAGAGATCTGGATCTGGATTTGTTTGGGTGGCACAAACACCGCTGAAGTTATAAAAGGCGCATGGCTTCTTGGTTTTGACTTTCGAATTCCTTTCTCTCTGCTACCACCACCATGACGCCGATACCTTCTTGTGGCTCTTCCTTCAGAGGCGATCTGCAGCTGCTGCTGCTCGAAGGCGAAGACATGTTGAGCAACATCCTGTCCTCCAGCTCGGACATGGTGGCACAACATCGATGTGGACCGTCGGTGCCACCTTCGCACCTGGGGAACGCAGGACCCGCCTATCAATACCTTTCTAACACCCTTTTCGCGTTGACTCTATGAATGTGGGCGACACCCTGATCAGCCACATTTGATGGACCACCTCCAGCATCGATGCCTATATTATGTCGCGGTTATCTGGCGAATGCCATCCCTTCAGAATGAGTGTATACTGTCGTCGCTGGCCTCTCGATGTCGTCAAGCACGATTTCTCTCAAGAGCCACATCTACTACTCTATTCTACCCTTGCGCCACACGGACGAAAGTGAGTGTCAAGCTTCTTTCTCTTCTCTTAAATACCTTTTGACTGTGTTGGCAGGTGGCCGCCCTTCTTTGTCTGACTCTAAACACCTGGCTTGGGCCGTCCTGATTCGCTATTGATGATGCGGACCTCTGTGGCTAGGCAATACTTACAATGAACGTTCTATCGTTGATATATTCTGGTCACTGTGCATTTTTTCTGGTCATGCTATCGACGGGTGTGGCTCTATGCTAACTTATAAACCGTGCCACAGTTTTATCATGTTGAACAGAGGTATGTGAAACATCTACGTCCTCTATAAATTTGACTCATCTCTTAACCGTTCGAGTCCTTGTTGAATTGTGTTACTTGCCGCCTGCATCGATGTCGAAAACACAGCTTCGATTCTATCATCTTGAAGATCACCTCGCTCACTTGCAACTAGTGCATCGAGCGCGTAGTGTTTATCTGTCAACGCCGATTCTGCAGCTATTCTGGACAACAGTTTCCGTTGCAAATGTGCTTCTGTCTTTCCTTCCAAGTTCTGACCGGAGTGCGTGTCGTTCGTCGATCTGTATCGTCGTGCAGCGTCTCTATAGCGTATACACTGCAGCCGATGCTTCAGTTCGGTGTCTATTTGCTCCGTGTGGGTTTTGCTACCTCGCTTCCACTCTGTTTCCTTTCCGTTGCCGTTGGACTGTCACCCAACAATACCTTGTATATCCCCGCGCAGCCTGTTGTGCCCTGTATCCACTCATTTCATTTGGTTGTTTTGCCAAATGCTCTCATGTATATCCCTGCGCAGCCTGTTGCGTCATGTATTGTCTGGTGCCGCCTTGCAGACAGTGTACAGCACACGGGCCGCCCGCTGGCGTAAGTCTTCCTTTTCTCCTCTTCTGCTCCGTCACTCATAGTCGACGTTTATCAGGCTGAATTCATAGTAGATTGTGCTGCCAACTCGTTTCATGTATATCCTCGCGCAGCTTGTTGCGTCTTGTATTTTTCTCATGTTCCATTTGGCTGTCTCTCCAATGCTTGCATGTATATCCCTGCGCAGCCTGTTGTGCTCTGTATCCTGTTCATCTCATTTGGTTGTCCTGCCAAGTAGTCTCATGTATATCCTTGCGCAGCCTGTTGCGCCATGTATGCTCCGTGCCGCCTTGCGGACAATGTGTACAGCACACGAGCCGCTGGTGGAGGTAGGCGTTGCATTCCTTGCTTTAGCGTATGCTAACATTTTATCTACAGTGAATTATCTTTCTGTGGTGTTATCTTGGCGACGATCTGATGTCGATACCCGAACTCTGATCCGATTTGTTCCCTGTGCTGCCGCTTGTTCTCTCTGGTTTCCGTCGTTCGAAGGCCCGACTTCGTTGTTCTGATTGGAGGTTGATGCCGCAATGTATCTTTTCATCTCTGTCCTTGTTCGAGGCAGAGACTGGCATGTGTTCATGTTGCGTGGATGTCGAGCTTGTCTCTAGCCTGAATCCTTGTCGACGTGAATCCGTGATGCCCGGTTACTTTCGTCTCCATCCTCGTTTGAGGGGAGCTCGGCATTTTGCCACGGTAGGCCTTGAGCCTCAATTTTTGGGACCTCCGTCCGCTTCGTGCGGACAACCCCTCCTTGACTGCTTTTACTTGTAAGTGCTCCGTACTGTCGGGGGTTTCTGTCATTTATTTATTGATGATCCAGGCAGATCTTACCCTCAAATAGTCAATAGAGCATCGGTATTGCTGATACTTATCGGTGCGTTTACCCTGATGGCTTTTTTGCATTATAAATCTACTGCAGAGGCTTGACATGTTGACATGTTGTCGAGCGAAGTTGGGCAAATATGCAGTATCTTCGTTGTATTTGTTTCTCGAACAATCATGCTCAGGTGCATGACAGGATATGTAGGTTTATCTTTTTTGGGGGTTAGTCGACTGCTTACAATGACATACCGGCTCAGGTGCATGACCTTACGGCCCGACGTAGAAAGGCGGCAAGCCAGTTTGCGTATCCTCGCTTTCTCCTGTCTTTACTAATCTGTTCATTAGCGGAACACTCATCGCAGCGCAGGTTGTCTTTCAAGCAAGTACCGCATAGGAAGATCCCACTCTCGATGTATGCTGCCCCGGATTTTTTATGTAAGTATGGGTTAGTATTCACGAAATGAGCTGCGCGTGTTGATTATTATATAGGTATTTACTATCCCTTTGTTACCGAAGTCCTAAACTTGTAGTTAGTGCGCCACACACGGGCCACCTGTTAGCAAATGCTTGCTCCACATCGTTCCATTCAGACGAAAATCATATTCTTCCGAGTCGATATTCGGGACTCAGACGTGGCATAGCAATAATTAAAAGTTTGACGAGTGAATTGGATGACGACTCAGAAAGAAAGAGAAATGTTGTTCCTTCTTTCTGGTTGTAATATTCAGGTATTATAGGCTCGCGTGTTGGGTGTGACTCCCGCTCGGTAATATTTTTGGGTCAATTAGACGCAACTTCGTTTTGCCCTACAAACGAGCTTAGTTACTGATTCTTGTCTCCAGCTGCAAATTTCAAATTTCAAACTATCGACGCGTTGGGTTGGCCTCAGTCCGGCGAAACACCCGACCAACCAATTGATACCACACTAACAGTCCTACCATTATCGACGATTTCTGCACAGAATAATCGATCCGTTTTTTCTAAGCCCCATAAGCCGTGACCGTATCAGGACCGCATTAAAAAAAATTACGCTTTGTCGTTTGTAATTAGGAAACAGTCACGGAGAAAGAAGGTGGCCGGTACGAACATTGGGACTGATCTTGACGTTGGGTATGCCGACCTTCAAGAAGTAATCGGTAAAACGCGACCCAGAAGAAAGGCTTTACAGAATAATAATGGCTACATCAGTACAATTGATATGGAGCCTGAGATGTGAACGAGTCATTGATAAACAGAACGAACCGTTACACCCGAGAAATACACGAAACAAATGGACGAGAGGGGTAAATAACTGGCTGGAAATGGACTGCCTACAAATGAGGCAGAACTTTGGAAGGAGAGCCCTTAAAACCCAACTAGTTGAAAGGACGTGGGAAGGGACCTTGCTGAATGAAGAACGACTCCCAAGACACTGGTCTGGAGTCGCTGGGGTTTTAGTGGGTATCGGACCTTAGCGCGAAGGTAAATTTGGGGACGGCGCATGAGAGAGAGAGTTGAACGGTGTCTGGAGTCCCACACTCCGTGCGGAAAGCATTTCCCCAGGGTGAAGAAACACTAACATAAGCAGGCTCTAAGCCTGCATACTGCATACTAATGGTGTAGACTGGGGCACGACTATGTCGGACCACACGTCTACAGGCCTCCGCGGAGGAACCCATGCCACCAAAAAAAAAAAGGTGGCTGGTACGAAAACGGTGAGTAATGTTTATGCCTTCAAACAGGCTGCCGGCACCATTATTAAAGAATGCCTTTTGACTCATGTTTCTCTAGATTATCTCCTCGGACTCCAAAAATCCTCTCGGTATCCTCCGCCCTCTAGCATGAGCCGCGACTGTTGGAGAAAGTCTATCGTCGATGGCGCCACATCGTCTGACGCGTCTGTGGCGTGGGAGTAACAGCAAAAGATATCTCGGTCCGAGACACGGCAACCAAGGTCACCCTAAAACCTACTCCTATCGCAACACTTTCCACTTTCCACTCTCACTGAACAGACAAATCCTTTCCTCTAGGCATCATTCTCACTTTCAAATGCGAAGACCGAAGTAGATTCTATTCCTGCCCAAATGAAGTCGCAAAGAACGGCCACGATAGGAGATAGGACCAGTGAGTGACTATCCCTCTATCTGTACCACTGCTTATTAATACCATGGTTATCTAGGTACTGTATCCATCATAGAACCTAAAATCGAACTAAACTCGCTCATTCATTCCCTTCCTCCCGAAATTCTGTCCGAGATATTTCTTCTTGCACTCCCAGGCTCGTACAGCGTTCTTGAGCCCCTACACGAGGGTCCATGGCTACTGGGGCGAGTCTGTCGCCGGTGGCGAGATGTCGTCTGGGGTTATCCAGCCCTGTGGTCGTGTTTTGTTCTAATTGATTGGGAAGCGCCGCACCGAATACAAGAAGAAATCGGAGCAAGAATGGTCCAGGAGGCCCTTCAGCGGACCAGACAGAGTAAACTCTCCATGACGATATGGACGGGTTACATTTTCTCAGATACCATCGTTGAGACCTTACTGCAGCATTCACAGCAATGGGAAGACGTCTCTTTTCTAGGCCCTTCCTCTCGTCAATGGACTCAATCACTACTCAATCCCCATCCGATCCATCTCCCCTCGTTGAGGTCACTTTCCTTGGCTCACAATTATTCTATTGATGACATCGCTACCATCATGGGCGTGCTCAAAGACGCGCCGAACCTCAGATGTCTCCGATTGGATGTACGGGTATCCTACTTTGACCCGAGCACGATTCTCTTTCCATGGTCCGGTATCACACATTTGGATATGTTCTTCTTGAAGTTGAATCGGCTAGAGCTGATTGTCAAGCTTCTCCGTCTTTGTCCGAATCTTGAAGAGTTGAAGGAGAGGACCATGCTCCGCTCTGAGGCGGCCACCATCGCCCCATTGACGCTCGAAAAACTCCGTTCGCTGAGCCTCGGATTTTCTCATTTGCTCCTGCGTCACCTCACTTGTCCGGTATTGCAATACCTAACATTCATTATGCCATATACCGACTATCCATCATCCAGTCTAACGATATCTCGATTCTCCGCCTGTTCTGGGAGTCATCTGCGGACCCTTGATCTCCGGCTAGGGCGAAAGACCCTAAACCCCGATCAACTATTCTCATGCGTTCCCCAGCTTCACAGATTGATTCTATCTTTGGCGGGTACGGAAAACGACATGGATCCATCCAAGTGTCTCAGGTGTCTCGACTCAGGCGACATGGCCCGGGGTCTGATGCTCCCCAACTTGTCTGTCTTTGAGCTGAGCGCAAACAGGCTTTTTATGGGTGATATTCGGCTGCACGGACGGGATGAGTTACTGGTCAGGATTATCGATAGGCGTTGGAACGTTCCTGAAGATTCTCGGGTTACTCGGTTGTCTCAGGTTCGTATCAGATGCCGGAATCCTGCTCGTGTAGAGGCGAAAGGTGTTGCAAAGCTCGGTACTTTGTCGCATATTGCTCGTCTGAAATTGTGTAAGGCTGAAGGATTGGATATCTCAGTCATTGTCGATGAAGGTGTTCTACGGTCCTTGCTATCACTGACACGCTCTGTAATTAGAGATGGACGGACTACTCGAGGAACGTGTTCTTTTATGATACACTGGCAGAAGATGTTGTATCCAACATTTTGTGTTCTATTGTCTGTCAAGTATCCAGTTTTGCATAGTATCCCGAAATTCATTCCAGTCAAGTCATTCGCCTCACATCATGGGATGTTTCTTGCAACTAGCGAGCCGCTGAACTCTTGTCTTTATTATCATTTCCATATCTCTGGTTAGCCCAGCCCCCTCCTTCAACTTGGATGCAAATTTCTTACCGAAAGTCTTAGAGTTGCAGGTTCAACGACAGGAAATGCAACGAGCTGAACTGGAACTGAACAGTAACCATGCTGGATACGTGCTTCGTCTCTCAAAATCGGTGTCGTGCGTAGACGTATTACGTGATTTATAGTCACCATTACCATGCGTTACTGGCAGAAACATCCACAAAGTTCAGGCGGCTTACGCTGGCCCGCTCATCCAACCACTGGGCCGACTTCGTCTATCAGCAGTATCATCGAATGATCACCTCGAGCACTTCCGTAGCAGCCTCGATCAAGCAGTCCTGCAGGTATCTTCCCTCGAGTAAGTTGCACAAGCACATTTTGGCTGATCTCTGGATTTGCTGGATTCGGTCTGTACGACGGCAGGCTGGATGGAAGAGCTGCCTTGCGAGTCTATGATCAGTCCTGCTGGTTTGAGGGAGAAGTATCATCGTGGAGAGTCGGCTTCAGGGTTGCGATGATGCGATATATGTTTATTGAAATTTTGAATGCCTACAGGATATGAACGGCGACGACCAGCTAGTAGACCACGACTCATGCCAGACTTCAACTGCCACTGCAGACTGTGCAGTCAAGGAAGCGGTGTGGCTGCAAGCTGTATGGTCCCAGTTCTCTTGTCAAAGTAGTATGCACATGGAAGTCGGGATCGGAACAGCCAGATGCAGAAGTCGTCAGGAAACTCAAAGTAGTGGGGTAGCTAGCGGGCGCCCGGCGTGAGAGTCGCAGACTAAGTGGCTGTGCCCTGTTACTTTGACTCCATCCCGGCCCGACTCCCGAGACCTCTAACCCACCCTCAAGCTCTCAAGCTTCAAGATCTCAAGCTCAAGGCCCAGATCAACGCATTTTAGCATGAAACTGCGAACATTAAATCAGCACACCGTGACCGCGAGTGGCTGTTTCCCTAAACTTCCCTTCCTTCCGAGGGCGAGGGGGATAATTGCCTCTCTTTCCAGTCTCTCTTGAACTTCTTCCACGCTCACCATACTCCGGTAGTGCATTGGCTACCACAGCGTTCAAGGGTTCGATTCCCATGTGGAGTGCTACTTGTATGTGAGGACTTGTCCCTGTAGTAGATTATCGGTCAACGCACGCGCGCCGGGTTCGACTCCCAGGCGAGGAGACATACTTGGAGATATCAGTTGTCTGGTTTTTATTCGGGATCCCGTACTCCCGACTTGATTCATTCATGCTCGGGGATCGACTCGCAACCAAGCTGAGATCATGCACCCCGACCTGCTGTTCACAGTCAAGTAGCTTCTTCCTCGGGTCTTAAGCAGAGCATCTAGTCTGCGCAGCGAGACAAGAATCCGATCCGGGTTCGGATGCGCTAGTTGACTTGCCGCTTATTGGTTACCCGACTAGCGCTGTGTTCCACTCCCAGATCCAGAGATGATATGATTGTTTCTGTCGACATCACGAGATGACGTCTAATCCTCGAGTCTACTTTGTTCCCCGTAAATTATCGGCGCGCGCATGCGCTGGGTTCGACTCCCAGGTAAGGAACAATAAAAATGTAGGAACATGGCCTATGTTTTTACTCGGAGCCGCCGTATTACAACTTGCAAATTGAAAGGGGATCGACTCACTTGCAGCCAATAAACCCGCCCAGTTAGATTCTTCCCGAGCATCTTTTCTTGGTTCGGGACATGGATGTATGCGTCGGTACAAAATTACTTCAAGCCGTGTACTGGTTACCCGACTGGCGCTGGGTTCGACCCCCATCAAGAGATGATAGTTTGGTTTTTTCGGATTGTTTTTATGCATACTTCCAATTACCAGTGGAATATCGCTCGGGATTTGAATACGCGTTCTCTCAACCCAGGGACTTCCCTCCAAGAATGAGTGCAAAGAAATGGGGAAAGTATTTAGTCGCAATGAAGCGCGTTCGTAGTGCATTGGTTGTTAGGGCCAGAGGACAGGGTTCGACTCCCAGCCGGAGCGGTGACTTTGGGATGATTGCTATTTTAGGTAGATGTGGCTTAAATTTTTGATATTGTCCCTAATTGCTAGTAGCTAGATTATCCTCCCTGTCTGACAAACCTAACTGAATCCTTTTCAAGCGCTGGCGTAGCGATATGATGAAGTGCATCGTATTAGAAAAGGATGACATAGCTATTACGGCTCACTGCATGCTGCATGCATGAATCCACTTGACCACATCCTCTGCCCATTCCTCGCCCTGTCCAGTCCCAAGCGCGAAAACTAAGCTGAGGTGATTATGCCCTTTGGCCACAAACTCGTCGTATGACACCCTCAAAGCCTCGCCGAATTTCTCCATAGCGGGGTGCAGGCAGGGAATGTCTCTCTCGCCGATACCTAGCAAGAGTCTCGGAGTCGGTATGGCACTCGCTGATTCTAACAACGCCAACGGTACCCTCTCTTTCGCCTTGTCATCTTTCCCGTAGTACAGCCTGACGGAATCCTTCATATCCGCTGGCGTCCTCGAACGTGTACGGTCCGGAGAGGAGGACTGCACCCTTGATACGGGGATTCAAGGTGGGGGAGTACAGCTCCGGGAGATTAAGGATAGTGAACATGTTCATCGCCCCCGCCGAGTGGCCGAGGACATAGATATCAGAATCGGGGAAGGGAAGGTTATCCACAACCCACTGAATGGCGTCCCCCACGTCCTGCGCTGCGCCAGGGAATTTGACACCAGAGTCGACCAGGCGGTAGTCGGGGACGACGGTGAGGAATCCGCGGGAGGCGAAGAAAGAGCCGAGGTTGTGGTAGATTATGGAGGCGGGAGCGGGGAGCATCCGTGCACCTATGTAGAACCCGCCGCCATATGAGAAGATGAGGATCGGGGTGTCGGGACGCGGAGTGGGAGGGTAGTACACGTCGAGCATGTGCCGGTCGGTTGGATCGTATTGGTGTGTCTCTCGCGTTGTCTGTTCGATTGACGCGCGTTTGGATTCGAGGATGGGGACGAACGCGTTCAGTGCTGTTTGAGGGTGTTAGGTATAGTAAAGCGTAGGAGAAAAGACGCACTTGGCACTAAGATATCGTTGATTTCTCTCCCTTTGATTTGGGCTACTTGCTCCATGGTTTGCTGGATGTTTACCACTGCCGCGCACGTATCTTATACTGCCCAAAACATGCCCTCATCAACATCCTCAAACGATACACTGAATGTCATTGCAGGATTGGTGAGCTGTGGCCCCGACTCGGATGAGGATGAGTGAGAGGCACTATACTCCGTACTCGACGGCCAACATCATGGTGCGCGGGGAGCGCGGATCATCGGGCTCGGGCTAAATTGAGTCAGCTTCACGCGCATGTGAAGCGAGCATGAGTTTATGGGAAAAGGTGCCGATGAAAGTCGTGTCCAAGGTAAACACTGAAACTGAAGCCAAGTCACATGCCGTCACAACGTTTCCTTTTTTGGGGCCTCTTTTTTGATCCACCTTTCGTCTCGTTTTTCCTTCGTGACAGTAAATGGCTCAAACAGCAGCCATTCCATGCTTGGTGTATCAATGCGCTGATCAATCACTGCCTGAGTTTTGCCTACTCCATCTGTGCGAGGCTGCGAGTATCATAATCCTCACCGGCACCCCTGGTTCACATCCTGGCTTATTCTTCTCGGGTGTACTATACTACGTATAAATGGGCCTAGCGCCCACCCTGGTCCAACAGGTATGACAAACCTTGTAGGGCGCCGTAAGGAACTGGACCAGTGGAATTGTCGGTTTCTTATGACAACTCAGAAAGCCTGTGTATGGGCCGAATGTGTCTGGTAAGCAATTCGTTATTTAATATCCTTTCTCGCCAAAACAAGTGACCTCCTCGGGGGACTAGTTCATTTTCCCAAGTTGGAACTTGATATATGATTGAAGATAGCATTCCAGCATCTCGAAGAATCCTCACGGATCGGTATCGACGCGACCTTCATCACCGCCGAAGACGCCTCTTCGCTCTCAAAGAATCTGTCACCTCGCAAATCGACGCTCGTCTCTCTACCTCAAAATTTGGTGGATCAAATCTGGACGGATTGCCCTGCACGAACCAAGAATCCGATTGTTCATCTCGAGGAAAAATTCTCTGGCGAATCCCACGAATCTAAACTTGGGTGTCTGCGTGACAAGTTGAAAAACAAACAATGCGCGGCGATAATACTTACGGCTTTGGACGAGATTGCTTGGTTGTATAACCTGCGCGGATCGGATATCGACTTTAACCCGGTTTTCTTTGCGTATGCGGTTGTCACGATGGACAGTGCAACACTGTTTGTTCAAGGAGGTGCACCGGCAGATGTTGATGTCAAGTCTTACGAGGAATTTTGGACCTTCTTGAAAGAGTTCAAGTCGGAAGGCAAAGTTCTAGTCATGGACAAATCCAGTTTGGCGGTAGCCGAGGCTGTTGGAAAGGTGCAGCATCATTTCATTCTAGCTCACGTTGCTAACTTTGCCTCAGGACAACTACACCCTTCTACCATCTCCCGTGTCTTCATTGAAGTCGATCAAAAACGCGACAGAACTCGAGGGATTCAGGCAGTGTCACATTCGTGATGGCGCAGCTTTGGTGAAACACTTCTCTTGGCTCGAAGATCAGCTTAACCAAGGGAAGAAGCTGTCGGAGTGGGGTGCTGCAGGCAAACTGGAAGAGTACCGAGCGTGAGTCGTCTTTGCGTTGTGTAAAACAGTGTTGGCTGATGATATCAGTGAGCAAGGTCTGTTTAAGGGTCTAAGCTTTCCTACAATCTCGTCGGCTGGCGCCAATGCTGGTGAGGGTCACGCATACCTTCGCGGGCAACAGAATGACTGATTATGCCAGCGATCATACACTATTCTCCGGATTCGAAGGATTCTGCCATTATTGATAAGGAAGAGGTCTACTTGTGCGATTCAGGAGGTATGTCTAGATATTCATCCCGGCTCATTGCATTATTGTACAGCTCAATTCTTCGACGGTACGACCGACGTGACTCGAACATGGGTGCGTGCTGTTCATCTTGTGCCAGTGTGTGAACTATTGCTGACGTCTTACATATAGCACTTTGGTACACCTCTGCCGGAGGAAATTCGTGCAAACACTCGAGTTCTCCAGGGTCATATTGCGATCGACACTGCTGTATTCCCTAATGGTACGACTGGCTACATTATGTATGTCTCTGCCAAATGCTTTCCGCCTTGATGGATGCTCATTTACTTTTGGTGATTCATGGGCACGACGAGCGCTGTGGCAAGACGGACTCGACTACAGACACGGTACCAGTCATGGAGTAGGTCACTTCCTTAACGTCCATGAAGGACCTCATGGAATTGGCACGTGCATCGGTCAGTTCTATATCTTCTGCGTTTAGGATTTGAAATTGACGCGTTCGTGACCAGGTTTGAACGCGAATGCACTTAAGCCTGGCATGACGGTGTCGAATGAACCTGGTTACTATGCCGATGGGAAGTTTGGCATTCGGATAGAGAATATCGTATTGGTCGAGGAGGTTCAGACGCCAAATAATTTTGGGAATAAAGGATACCTGGGTTTTGAGCATGTCGCAATGTGAGTCGGATTGCCCATCCTGTGTCTTCTGTCTGCTAATTACCACGCAGCTGTCCGATTCACAAGAAATTGGTGGATAAAGTATTACTGACTGCAGAAGGTGCAACTTTTTGCTACGATATGATTTCGAGGCACTGATCCATTATAGAAACGGAATGGTTTAATGACTGTCATGAAGAAGTCTGGTAGAAGGTTTCGCCGTTGTTGCAAGATGACAAGCGAGCGTTAGATTGGTTGAAGCGGGGGTGTTCGCCCATTTAATCGGAAGTCCTGATGACATACTGTATGTATTTTTATACGAGAGAGAGATTCTACGAGTGGTTGCTGTCCTCTGTCTTCTTGGTGCTGGTGTCTTAACCTGTGGAAGTAACCGATTCGATGTATGCTTCGGCCGAGGGGCTTCTGGTACATTATTTGCGCTATATTTTGGACAGCGCTGACTGACTACTTTCTTTTGCAGTTTATGCTCCAAACCTCGGTATCCTTACTGAAGCCGATGGAAGACTTGTGTTCGGAACTGCAACCTTCTTATTGCCTACGATCAATGATTAACGACCCCGAGAACTTGTAATGACGAGTCACAAGGGCTTGCAGAGATTTTAGCCTTTCTGATGATTTCACAGCGTCGCGGCTAACCCGTCAATCTCAGTCTAATCGAACTTTTCTTCCGAGGGGCAGTGTCTATTTCGGCTCAAGGCAGTGCGCAACGCTGCCTGCTGAGTCATCAACAAGTTGCTGCTTTGCCATTGTTTGCATACTGTAGTCATTGTCTTTCCACCCACGAGGGTAGAGCATGGTATCTGTAACTCTGCTCCTGCAGCCACCATGGCTGCTGTATGTTACGATTCTCTCTCTCCTAGTGGGTGCAGACAACCACTAGGTATGTGCAGGCTGCGCCATGACATTACCCAGTGCAATTGCGGGCTGGTCCTTGACACTTGCAACTATCAAAGCCACGTACGCGGCCGACGCCATCAGCAAATCCTTGCGGGGATCCAACCACCTGTATCGAAGCTGGGGACGGGTGGTCGGCCAAAGCAACCATGCCCTCATTGTCGTCCCACTCGAGAATTTTGGGAGAATGAACTCCAGGCTCATGTTGCCACGCATACGGTCCAGGAACGACTGGAGACGGCGTTGCAGGATGCTCAGAGGAACAAGAATGGCATCATAGTGTCTAACCTAGAAGGTATCGATTTCGGAATCGTCGATGAGGCTGGGCGACAGCCAGCGGTGGTCGCTGTACTGGTGCAAAGAACGGATCGAGATGATGCGGTGCTAATTTCTTTAAAAAAGTGCAGGATGCTCTCTGCTCAGAAGCAAGACGAGCATGGCGTAAAGTAAGTTTTTTCGGTATGTCGTATCAGGAGATGGGCCGGCTTGCTCCTTGAAAGAATTTTTTTCGGTTTTTCGTTCCGTGTTTTTTTGGTGAAAAACGGAAACTTACGGTATGCTCTTGCCAGGTTTTCTGTCGCTGTAAGCCCAACGTCAAAATTCATTCGCTCGTTCCGACCTCACGTGGTCTCCATAACCTTTCATCCATCTTATGCCGGGTATTTTGAAGATACCCTAGAACTGGTATTCTTCGATGTTTCCCAGCATCGTGGTTTTGTCATCCAGCGAAAGGTCTGCGTTACCGTCGGTGACCTTGCTGATCACGAACGGCTTGCACCCAAAGCACCCTACACTCAGCGGAAGCGACGTAACATCGCGTTAGACGGTCCCATCAAACGGAGCCTTCGTCCGCCCACTTGGACCCCGACGAAATGGGTATTCAAGCTTCCCCAATACAACATTCCTAAGAACCTCGTCGAAACATTGTACACTCCGGAGGGATACTTGAAGAGGACCGCTTCAAAGGATGTCAAGCGATGCATGCCTTCGTCGTTCACTACCGCTACGTATGCGCAGCACTTTCAGACACTCATTTATTTAGAAGAGGAGCAGATGAGGTATCTCTGAACTTCAATTCGTTGTATTTTCTACGCTCATCGTTTTACAGGCAAGATCTGGACACCTACTCGATGGTAGGTGTAGAGATCAAAGCAAACTACCCCAGATACGAGTGAGTATCTCTGTTTCCCCTTTCTTTGTTCCTGCTAACCACATCCAGACTTCAAGTAAAAGGGCTAGCTGAAGGGCGGCCCTCTGTTCTTGTTGGAGACTTCATCCTTGTTCGTCCCGTTGGTCAGCCAGACAAAACTTGGTTTGAAGGGCGGGTACATAATGTAACCATGTCGCACGTCAGTCTCCGCTTTAGCGATGAATTCAACATGTATCGCGGAACCAAATTTGATGTTCGATTCGTCTTGAACCGTATCCCCTTCCGTCGAATGCACGATGCCTTGGACAACAAGAACGACCCAGCCCGATTCCTGTTCCCCGGGCCTGAACACTTGACGACGGCGGGTCCTGTCACTTCGGCTATGTTGGAGGAGCTCGTGCCTCTAAACCGCGACATCGGAAGGAACAGGGAACAGTTAGAGACGGTGGCGGCTATTGTACATCAGCCAAAGGGGAGTGTGCCATTCATCGTCTTCGGACCGTAAGTGTGCCTTCTGTGGTATGCTATTTACACAGTCTAATCGTCTTGACATCTCCAGTCCAGGAACAGGAAAGACGGTGACCATCGTCGAAGCGATAGAGCAGCTCCTCAAGCGTGATCCCAATACCCGAATCCTAGCATGCACACCGAATAACTCCGCCGCCGACCTCATCACACAGAAGCTGATGCACCTCGGTGCCACAGACGTATTCCGTATGAATTCAATGACTCGAAAGTTCGGTGACCTCCCCAAGACGCTCCACAAATTCTCCCTTATCAACGACAACCAAGCATTTGCGATGCCGACCCTAGAAGGTGTTCTCAAGTACCGTGTAGTCGTCTCGACGTGCGTTTCCGCTGGCGCCCTGCGCAGCTTGGGCGTGAAACCCGGTCATTTTGAGTGCATCTTCATAGACGAGGCAGGTCAGGGGAAGGAACCTGAGATCATGATACCTATCAAGGGTCTCGCGAATAATTATACCAACGTAGTTTTGGCGGGAGACCTGAAGCAGTTGGGCCCTATTGTCCATTCGAGGTTGGCGAGGGATCTGGGGTTGAAGGAGAGTTATTTGGCGCGGTTGATGCAAAGGCCATGTTATGGTTTGTCTCCGTGGGATGGCGGTGTCAGTGGAGGACTCGGTGTCGTGTGCGTACTTCCTTCCCTTTTCGTTGCATAAACCCTCCTCACAGTCTTGTCTAGTATCATGCAGCTCATCAAGAATTTCCGATCTCATCCAGATATTCTGGCGTTCCCGAATGAACAATTCTACGGGAACCTGTTGCAAGCCTGTGGTGATCCTTTGTTGACAAAGAGCTTGGAAAATTCGGTTGTGCTCCCGACGAAGAAGTTCCCGATTGTTTTTCATTCTGTGGTCGGACGTGACCAGAGGGAGGAATCGTCGCCGTCGTTCTTCAATATTAGCGAAGCAACGCTCGTGAAGAGCTACTGCACATCGCTAATGGCCAAGAAGGGGATACGTAAGTACTTTTTCCTGAGGTGATTATCGCATCAATAACATGATCATAGGTGCTGAGGATATTGCTGTCATTACCCCATACCATGCTCAAAGGATGAAGATCCTCGATCTATTCTATCGAGATCCAAAGTTGAGAGATATTCGCGTCGGAAGTACCGAAGAGTTCCAAGGACAGGTAATCCAAATTTCATCTGCCTTTCACGAAAGTACTTATACCAACCGATAGGAACGCCGAATCATCATTATGTCTACCGTTCGGAGTAATGCAGAGTTCATTACTTCAGACATTCGTCGGACCCTCGGCTTTGTTGCGAGTCCCCATCGGTTCAATGGTATGTCTCGTCCATCTAGCATCTATTCGTAACATCTCATCTTTGCCTTAGTCGCCGTGACTCGTGCTCAAGCCCTTCTCATCGTCATTGGCAACTCAGATGTGTTGGCCCTCGATCCTATATGGCGCTCGTTCATGAATTACATCCATATGAGGGGTGGCTGGCGTGGACACCGGATTTCGTGGGATCCAAAGGCCAGTGTGGATGATTACGTTGAGGAAGTGAGGAGTAAGGCTGCTGGAGAGGCTGAAGAGACCATGGCGCGGTTGAAGGCTCTCATCGTGAATGTGGCCGACGGCGGTGATGCTATTCCTCCCCCGGATACTGATGACGAGGAAATCGATGGAGGCCTCGGTGATGGATTAGTCATGAGAGAGGAAGACTGAGCATGCAGCAGCAACATAGTGTCTGTTCATTGATCCATTGTAGCTAAATCTACTTTATTTATGCAATCAACTTCCTTAGTGATGTAACCCGCAAAATTGAGGGAACATCCATTGTTTGATGCAAGTTCAACACAATGTTGGCCTGGTGCAGTGAGCATGCAGGAAAGTCAAGGCAAGATTCTTACGGTGGCTGTCAAAAGGATTCGAGGTGCCTTAGGAATAAAATTCCCACCCGTAACGGTGGGATGTCTTGGTCAATGTGAATGGAAGGACGAATGATGATAGCAGCGCCATGTGTTGACGCGTGCCCTCAGTTGCAAGTTCGCTGTTTTGGCATTGTGATGCTGACTGCAAGCGAAAGTCCAGACAATCTTGCTCGCTTGTGTGTGCGACTAATGATAAGTGTGATAACTCTGTTACCAATGATTCTGGATGGATATATACTCTTCTCGGAGCTTGCAGCGTAAAGTGACCCTAAGGATTCAGGAAAGTCCTGCACTGAACGACGCCAACTCATTCGGACGTAGTCAATTATAGTATTGGTTTCGTCCTTGTTCATTTGAAAAGACTTAGTTTGAAAGTAGAATACTATTGGTAGGGTTTAGCCGGCACTGAAGGGACCCTCTCGATCCGCATCGTTCCGGAACGAGTCGCTCTTTGTCAGCAGGGGCCAATCAATCCAGTTTTCCATGAGACGTTCTTGGCTGGCAACTGAGGATATCACAGCGGCATGAGGGAGTGTGGTCTGTGACACGTTCTGTGTCGGCACAGAGCCCCGGCGTTCCTTTTTGGGACCTCGACCGGTTATCTATCTATCTATCTTGTCTTTATCGATGCCGCGACACCCCCCCCCCCCCCCCCCCCCCCCCCCCCCCCGTGCCATTCAGGCTTCAAGACCCTAAATCCTCAGCAGTTCTTCATGCTGGAAATGCCATACCTGTGAGTCACCAGTAGCCTCTCAGCAGGTGGACGACGTAGACTACTTTCAGTACGAGACAGAAGCTACCACGTTAAAGATGAGCCCTCTCATTCGTTTTTCTGGGAGTTTGAAGCTTGATTAAATTCGATGCGTCTTGACTCACGGGACACGCACCCTGGTTCGATCAGAATCCACCTGTGCTCCCTTCGGCCACGATGTTCGCCGTTCACTCTTGTTTCTCATTCCGATCGGCACCTTTATGTGTTGAAATACCACGGAAAGCTTCATTTTCACATGTCCCATCCGATGCGTCCGTATAGGGCACAAAGTGTCTGCTTCCGTTGTGGCTCACTCTACAGATTCTCGGGTCTCGTTGCCCGCGTTTTCTGATCCTTATGGCCCGGGAACTTAGTCTTTATGTTTGAAGCCCTTTTCTTCCATGTGGCTCATGCCCAGAGTCCGAAAATGGTTGAAATATACCACAAATGAGTTGTCATGATGTGCCTTTCGTGGATAGCCGCAATGCAAACACGTTCTGATGCCATACTCCGAGCAGTCTGAATTTATTCATATTCACGTCGCCAGCATACGGATTTATCGTACACTCCGAACCAGCTCGATAATCTTTGAAGCTTCTTTCAGAATACCGATTATCCCAACGGCGATCGATGCAAGGCGAAACAACGTACCCGCTCATCTCCTTCTGCTCACATATATCCTTCCAATATCCGTAATTTCAAATGTGTCTCAAGGTTATCACTTTTTTTAAGTGAGTCACGTCGGGACCGACGCCAACCTACTGGGTTCTGTGTTTTCGTCCGAGTGCAGGAAACTCAATGGTGTCTAGTTTGGCGTGGTGACATCGTCTAGTACTGCTTCCATTGCAGCCTGCGCTTCGCCGGCCTGTACACCCAGTTTTGAGTCTACTTCGACCTAAACTAGAGGCTCGTTCATTCTGGCACCTATTTATCGTCCCGTGGCTTTCTAAATCAGATCCTGGAGTTTGGCTTTAATCGTAATGAACAGAGACGAAGAAGTAAGATACCGATAGGTGTTGTGACGCGAGCGGAAGGCCGTTCCACCCCTGCAATGCCTCGAATTTACGCGTATAGTAGGACCAACAAGCGCCTAGGACTATATTGAGACAGAAGATCTGTTTCACCTGTCGTATGCGTCCTCATTCAATGCCCTCGATTATTATTGTTAACAGATACCGGGATTTGGAAGACGAACAATAGCGGAGACTTCCTCTATGATTTGGTGGACTGAATACGCGCCCGGGGCCATACGTTCCTTTAGTCACAGATAAATTGATGCAGGAACAGCTACGAGTCGTGTAATCTGCTATCAGTATTCCTGGAAACACAGATGAGCCATATCTCCAGAAGATTTATAAAGCATGAACATTCGTCGCAGACAACAACAAATGTCGCGCCAAAATTGAAGTTTGAATGCATTGAGAACCCCCGTCGTCTAGGAGGGTGTCCAATCGTGATAGATAGAATTTTTCAGCTAGAGCTGTACCCAGAACTGTCCGCCGCCATTCCTGCGGTCTGTGAGACAGATCAGTGCCGTTCGGCGTTCTGATTCAAGCTCAAGGTTGACATGAACGTTGATGACACGCCGCCGGATAGTCGGACCGTCTTCGACCTTTATCTAACCCATTGCCTTTTTTCTGCAGAATCTCAAGGTCCGCAGCTCGGACTCAGAGTCCTTTCTTCTCTCTGTCTCTCACTGGCACTGAACTGTTCAACGAGACTGTCTCCCTAAACTTCTCTTTTTCTCCGAGGGGACTATCAGTAACTTCTGAGCTAGTGCCTCTTCCATGTCCACTGTACTCCAGTAGTGCATCGGGTTTCAGCTACTGTTCAAGGGTTCGATTCCCATGGAGTGTTATACTGTGTACGTGATGACCTCTTTGTTTTGATTCTCTAGCTTATCCTTCATTTGTAAGAATCGGCAATTGGCAATAGCGGCGCACGGTTGTTGCCAGCTCTATTATTGTTTCCGCAGTGAATTTTAATTAGCTGCGAACTCAGTTTGCCTCCCTCGGCCCGGGGATACAATCACACAGGCCTCTCAGTACAGGACGACTCCTAGTAATTGGATGATTGCACGCCTGCTGAACCTAGATGGCATGCTCTGTGCCAGTGCTATTCAGGAATGTGCATATGCATTTGTTTCCTCGTACCACTCAAGCTTCGCCGTTCTTCCCTCTTTTGGATTGTAGCTACACAAGAAGATAGGTGCCGATACAAAGTCATGTATCCGATTTCCAGACGGCGACTACTTACTTTGCCCTCGACCTCCCTGTCATTTCCGGAACTCGTGATGACGGCTAATCCTCGAATCTACTTTGTCCCCCGTAGATTATCGGTCTACGCACGCGCGCCGGGTTCGACTCCCAGGCAAGGAACAATAAAAGTGTGGGGATATAGCCCAAGTTTTTGCTCGGGGCCGCCGTATTCCAACTTGCAAATTGAAAGGGGATCGACTCGCAGCCAATACACCCGCCCAGTTAGATTCTTCCCGGAGCATCTTTTCTTGGTTCGGGGCATAGATGTATGCGTCGGTTTGAAATTACTTCAAGCCGTCTCCTGTGGTATACTGGTTACCCGACTGGCGCTGGGTTCGACCCCCATCAAGAGATGATAGTTTGGTTTTTTCGGATTGTTTTTATGCATACTTCTAATTACCAGTGCAATATCGCTCGGGGTTTGAATACGCGTTCTTCCAACCCAGGCCCCAGGGTCTTCCTTGCAAGAATGAGTGCAAAGAAACGGGGAAAGTATTTGGTCGCAATCAAGCGCGTTCCTAGTGCACTGGTTGTTAGGGCCAGAGGGCGGGTTCGACTCCCAACCGGAGCGGTAACTTGGGATGATTGCTATTTTAGGTAGATGTGGCTTAAATTTCTGATATTGTCCCTAATGGCTAGCTAGATTATCCTCCCTGTCTGATAAACCTAACCGAATCCTTTTCAAGCACTGGCGTAGCGATATGATGAAGTGCGTTATATTAGAAAAGGATGACATGGACAGTGCGCTATTACGGCTCCGAGTCGCTGCATGCATGGATCCACTTGACCACATCCTCTGCCCATTCCTCGCCCTGCCCAGTCCCAAGTGCGAACACCAAGCTAAGGTGATTATGCCCTTTCGCGACAAACTCGTCATACGACACCCTCAAAGCCGCGCCGAATTTCTCCATAGCGGGGTGCAGGCAGGGAATGTCCTTCTCGCCGATACCTAGCAAGAGTCTCAGAGTCGGTATGGCACCCGCTGATTCCAACAACGCCAACGGCACCCTCTGTTTCGCCTCATCGTCTTCCCCGTAGTACAGTCTGACGGAATCCTTCATATCCGCTGGCATGTCCTCAAACGTGTACGGCCCAGAGAGGAGGACTGCACCCTTGATACGTGGCTGCAAAGTCGGGGAGTACAGCTCCGGAAGAGCGAGGATAGTGAACATGTTCATCGCCCCCGCCGAATGGCCGAGGACGTAGATATCAGAATCGGGGAAGGGGAGGTTATCCACAGCCCACTGCATCGCATCCCGCACGTCCTGCGCTGCGCCAGGGAATTTGACACCAGAGTCGACCAGGCGGTAGTCGGGGACGACAGTGATGAATCCGCGGGTGGCGAAGAAGGAGCCGAGATTGTGGTAGATGATGGATGCGGGAGCGGGAAGTGTGCGTGCACCCATGTAGAACCCGCCGCCGTATGAGAAGACGAGGATTGGGGTGTCGGGACGCGGAGTGGGAGGGTAGTACACGTCGAGCATGTGCCGGTCGGTTGGGCCATATTGGTGTGTCTCTCGCGTTGTCTGCTCAATTGACGCACGCTTGGATTCGAGGATGGGGACAAACGCGTTTAGTGCTGTTGGAAGAGGTTAGCTATAACAAAGGTTTAGGGGAAACGACGCACTCGGCACCAAGATATCGTTAATTTCTCTCCCTCCGATTTGGGCTGCTTGTTCCATGTTTTGCTGGATATTTACCACCGCCGCGCGCGTATCTTATACTGCCCAAAACATGCCCTCATCGAATCCTCAAACGACACACTGGATGGCGTTGCAAGGTTGGTGAACTGTGGCCCCGGCTCGGATGAGGATGACTGAGAGACACTATACTCCGTACTCGACGGCTAACATAACTGGGGCGCGAGGGGAGCGGAGCGTCGATCTCGGGAGAGACTGAGTCAGCTTCACGCGCATGCGAAACAAACGCGAGTTTATGGCGAAAGCGATGCCGGTCCAAGACTTAGATAGACGCTGAAACTAGCCAAGTCACATGCAAATCACGCACCGTCACAATGTTTCCTTTTTCGATCCACCTCATTCCGAACCCGGACTCGTCGCGTTTTTCTTCATGACAGTTACAAAGGGCTCAAACAGCAGCCGCTTCATGCTCACTGTATGAATGCGTTGATAAATCAACGCGTGACAACCCCATCTGTGCGAGGCTGCGAGTATCATAATTCTCACCTACTTACATGGCATTGATCCCGCCTCATTCTGGTGTAGATGGGCCTAGCGCCCATCCTGGTCCAACAGTTATGACAAAGATTCCAGGGCACTGTAAATAACTGGACCGGTGGAATTGTCGGTTCCTTACGTATAGAACCAGCCGAATACCTCTGGTGAGCAATTTGTTATTCACGAATATCATTTCTCGCCAAAACGGGTGACTCCTCGCGGGACTGGCTCATTTGCCCAAGTTCGAACTTAATACTTGGACAGGTTATTTCAAGTGCGTTGCTTCAAGGTTTATTTTTCTGCTCACAGTACTAATGCCTTATAAATAGTACTCGACCCATAACGTCCATCCCTTTCATGGCGTACCGGTTAACACCCGCGCTTCTCAGCTAGGTTCGACTCCCAGCTACAGGGTTGAAGCTGGATTTTCAAATCGCTGGCACTTGCTTTTTCCAAGTCCCTTTTTTTCGAAAAACACGGTGACGGCTTCTTTCTTGACTAGCAATAATACTTTTTCACTTTTCGCAATGGTAGCCGCAACTTACACACAACCCTATCTCGGGATCGGTACGTTCCTGTTCAATGTCCGCTTAGACTAACTGCAAGTAGCCTCCGCCGGGTTCGACTCCCAGTGAGGCTAGTGATGAAATTTGCCCGCGTTTTTTGGGGGGGGTGGGGAGGGGGAGCCTATCTTGATTCTTTTCCCTTGATGAGCTGCATTTCCTGTTGTGTTTTATTCTCCACCTCGGAACAGCGCCGCGATAACATCTTCACCACGTTCAGATCAACAACGCTCCGAGCCAATCATACTCTATGGCTACGCTCCTCTAATGTCTGTGTCGGCTTTGACTAACCGGAAACAAAGCACCCCATACACTGGGTTCGACTCCCAGCGAGACATTGCTAGTAGGATTATGTCAATTTGTTTTTTTGATCCTATTTTGGTACACGCGTCCAGGACCCCGGTGTGTCCTCGATACAGCCCACCACAACAATATCTTGGACTGTCCTAGCCCTGGATTCGCCTTTGAATAACTGGGAACAAAACTCCCAGCGAGACAAAGAAGAATCAAAATAGTTTTGCTAATGCTACTTTCTCTGTTAGCGCGACGGTTAGCACACAAGACCTCACGCTAGGTTCGATTCCCTCAGAGACCATGAGTTTATCCATGAGAATTTTTCATTTTTCATTTTTTTGCCATTCCACTTTCGTTATTGTTCAGTGTTCAGATTGTATAGAGGAGATACGGAAGCGCTGTGCGCATGTAACCGGGGGTCTACAACCCTCTCTGCACGCAAGGCTGGATTGGCGAAAGCTAGGGTTTACCAAAGCTCGCAGGCCATGAAGCAACGATTAAGTAAAGCAGTGATGAGACGTGCAGGTCGGCCGTGCGGAATGGGTATTACAACGTTAACTGGTTTGATCTTCTCGACTTGGAAACCAATAACAACGAGTCTTCGAATGAGATGGTTGTCCGATTGAGGTAAACATTCTCAAAAGCTGGCCACCTTGTTGGTATACACGGGATTGAAGCAAAAGCATACCTCTCAGGCTGAGGCTACTACGTATTGGATTTCTCGGGGTTCTCGGACATCTAATGTCAACTACTAAGGGACCGACTATCCGACGTCCTTTGTGCACCTTCGCATCGTCATAGCATCCTACGTTGCATGTGGCTCTATGAATCTTGGCTGCATCCGAGTTATCAAGCGAACACCACAGGACTCTACGGTGAGCCCGGGATGCCATTTACAGATGAACATTGAATACTGATCCAAGCAATAGTCGCCTCTTCTTCGAAATCCCTCAAATCCAAGGTCGATAAAGCCGTCTTTCCCACACATGGCCGGGTACTTTGATCGCGACTCCATCTACGCCACGGCTCGTCTGACGCCCATATGGTTCTCCTAGCTAGTCATCACAACCGGAAATGAATGAATGCGGATGTAACGTTCCCTAAGGATTATTGTGAATGGATCGAGTCGCATTGTTCAAAATGAGGTGTTTCATTCCTGTCGTCGAGACTCAATTTTCTGGCCTACCTAGCATACATACATACAGCGCACACCCTCATTATCAGATCACCTAGGTTCGTGCAAATAACTGGGACGAAGTACCATCCTGAATCCATCCTCTATACCCCCGAAGAATGGCCATGTTCCATCACAACAATCACTTCCCCGTGCTTACGCCTTCTTAATCCTATGATCATCTTCGAGGCCAACATTCTTTGTCGAACACTCATACCGGAAATTCCTGTCAATGTTTGCCATAACCTTCCAACCAACCATCATGATTTTGACGGGGATTCCGAGCATACGACCATATCCGACTTGGGTTCCGGACCGTTATGTATATAAATTCTCTCGTGTTTTTCCAAGCACAACAGGTCCCTCCCCCCCCTCCCCCATTTCTACCTTTCGGCTTTTCAACGTTCAACCCCTTCCGAATTCTTCTTTCAATGGTTCAACGCCTCATCTCCCTCTTCGTCCTCTCTGCGTCGATCGCACTCTCCTCAGCGCACCCTCTGCAGAAGCGCATCTCTCAGATCATCTCCGATTCCACACACGACTGGGAATAAGCATGCGTGAGTTCCCGTCTTTCCCGTGTTCAAGTTGTCGTTTTATCTTAGCCTCTCTTTCTCTCAGGTCACCGCGGGCGGAGCAGACCAATGCAACACCCTATCCCAAACCGCTTTTACCAGCCTCTTGGCTGCCGGAGGAAACTGTGACCAACAAAACGCGGCTGACCAGATGATCGACCTCGCCAAACAGCTTGGTAATGACGCTGAGATGATCAGGCTAACCCAGCTGTTTGTTGAGCAGCCTCGTAATGCCGTGAGTTTCATACTTACCTTCCCACATCCTCATCTAACATACCTTCCAGCCCGACAGCTTACAAGTTCCCTACTGCCAAACCGCCCCAAAGAACTCTGAACTCAACGGATTGTTCCACTGCCAGTTTGCCGGATCCGACTTTACCAAGTTTAGCGGGGACCAGACTGGGAACGTACCGCTCGGATTGGACGCTGTCAGTCCACCTGGTTCGTGCCCCGCCAAAACTGATGGTCCAGTTCCCGATGGCGTGCAGCTGAACACTCTCGTTCAGGATCCTGGTGTTTGGTACGTTAATGAACTACTAGTGGTATGATAACCTGGCTGACCGGGAATACAGAGATTCCAGCTCGGACTCCACCGCTCTGGGTCCATCTTTATGTTTGGGTTTTGTGGAAGGGCGTGTATACGTAAATAATATTGTCCAGAAATTCCAGAGCTCGTAGGGGTGTCTTTAGTTCTGTATATTAAGATAGTTAGCATTCAGAGTCAGTCCGCGTTAGAACGCGATATGCCCATAACCAATCAAACACGCCCTTTTATGGTTGTTCTTGTATATCATCGTTGCTTCCCAAAGTGCGAAAAAGAAGTTATGCGTAGTAGCAAGGAGAGGTTAGAACTTGAACAGAGATGGTTGTCGATCTCGCTCAAGTCCTCAAAAGATGGCCATCTCGATAGGATATGCGGGATTGAATAGTGCATAGAAAAAACAATCCAAGAGCAGATGAGCCCAGTTCTTGAATCCCTTCCTCAGTCGAACTGCTGGTGGTTGAGTTCCAAAAGGGAAGGATATCTCGGTCTGAGATCCCGAACCAATCAACGTCTGATCATCACGAGAATCTTCTGAACTGAACGTCCATCTTCTCCAGTACCTCAACTGATACTGCACTGGAAACAGGGCGGATAAAACCCCTCACGTCTTGGAAAAGAAGATACAAAGGCTGTTGGGATTTTGCCGGAAAGTTCTAGAAGGGGCAATCCGGCATCATGCTGAGAGTTGCTGAGTAAGCACGAGACTAGTAGAATAGTGTAGTACATTCTAGATTACATTGCAAAGTAGTATAAATACAAGCTCTGTAGGAGCCTAGGAACAACAAGTTCATATCAACTGGTCTTACCACTGACCAGCCAGGAGTCTACCCTGCACAACACCAAGGATTCCAACAAAGGCCAAAGGCAAAGAGGGGAGCAACAAGTGAATACTTGGCCCCTTTATAGAGAAAGCCTAATGGTCACGCCTCAGACATATGTCATTCCGAATAGATCGGTACCTGAGTACCCCTGGGACACAATGGCTTATGGATTTAGAATAATTGGACATTATATCATATATACTAATATACATAATAACTAAAAGTATATTATATATAACCAAAATTGTATTTGATTATTTATCGCAAGAAATATTGATATTAATAATATGCACAATGTCAGGTCTGTCTTCCTCTCCTATCTCAAGAAATATAATGCATCAGTACCACTTTCACCTGCACTTGACCTGATTTTCCAGATGGAAAAAGACTGAGTCATCAGTCCTATCATTATAACTTTTCATATCTATCTGATTATCATATAACTGGTCTGATACAGAATCTCCATCATAGTGCAGGTATAGGGCCTGCTCCCCAGTGTATATGCATCAAATGCCTTCACTATCTTGTGTGTCAAATCATGGAAAGCATGAGAGTGTTCCAACTATTTAAATAATCATTTGTATCTCATCAGTACATTGCATGTGAGTACACACCTTACTATTCACACAATGTGTCTTCCCCTCAACATAGCCTTAAATCTCTTCTGTCACACAATATCTGCACCAAGACCCTCACCTCACACTGATAAATTGGCCTACTTTGTGAACGCGTATGAGTCATGTGATCCTCTGATCCCTTCACATGGTCTCACTGCTGACCAATTGCATGACTGAGAACAGATGGTCACTGCTGACCAATGTTGTGACCATGATTCCGAGCTTGGAATCACGGTCACAGCTGACCAATTGTGTGACTGAGTTTCCGAGCTCGGAATCATGGTCACAACATTGGTCAGCTGTAACAGTCACATCCAATTTAAGAAACAGTAACCATAGGGGCTATTTTCCGGTCATAATAAGATTTAGGCTGGTTTCTGGGTGCTTGGTTGGTCAGGGAATGGTACTACTGTGCCTGACCAGGAAGCAGGCCGAACTGGTTTGTTTTAACTGTAAAAAATCTAGCATCACAATTATCCCATGTTAGTCACCACTTGTAATAAGAGAAATATCTGTTCTATTATTGTATGAGATTTTGAGCCTGTATGAAAGGGAGCTTCTTACACTATGAATATTTTCCTAATTGATGGCCTCAAAAGCATGAAAACAGGTCAACCAGTATTTTACATAATTTAAAGCAAACTATCCTTACTGTTATGCTGTTACCCTCTCCAGGAGCATCCATAAAGTAAGCTATGATCCTGAATTACATTGTGGAAGTGTACGACTGTGATAACGGGTGAAAAACAGCCTTGTTTGCATGAAGTTGCTTGCAAATAGTAATTTGACTTTTTCTCAGATCAAAAAAATTATTGAGAGGGAAATTTAAGATGAAAGAACAAAAGCTCTTGTACATAGATGCCAGATAGCCCAACCTCCAACCTGAAAAAAAATGCTCATGAAAAGGTACCATAGTCGTCGAGATATGAGCGGTTGACCCGTTACCATGCGTGACCTGTTATCTGATATGGCACAGTAGAATACTCACAAACCTAAATAACATAAAAGCGGACCTACTAATGAGGTATGGGGCCTCTGGAGAGTGTGTAATATAGGTAATTTCGCAAAAATGGCTGCAATATTTGCTTTTTGGGGTTTTTTAGGGTGATACATGCATTGTATCGACCAGGGAACTTCACCAATGAATTTCCTGACCTTGAAAACCCCTAAACAATCCTTCTATAGCACTTGTGGTATATTTTATTACCAGGATTAAATGAGCACATTAGCTTTTTAAGAGAGGATTGGGGTGCACATATGGTTTATTTTATTTTCTGAGCTTCGGATGAGACTGGGATTGTTACTACCTCATATAACACAAGGATTTAAAGAAAACCTACAAAAATACATGTTAAAAAAGAGTAATAGGGGATGGAGGAGATATACCTTGTATTACGCATTTCTAGTGGTTGGAGAAGGTATTCCTGTTATCTATTAAATGATATATATTATATAATCATTTGTACAAATTCCCATATTTATCCAAAATGTATTGGAAGAGATATAAGCAAATCATTTTGCAAATGATGAGGAGCACATCCCCAATTTCGATATTCTGATCATTCTATAGCTTGGGGAATGTCAGAATCGGATTCCTTGACCCAAAAATGGTAGGGTCACCAATCATCCATGGGAAGTGAAGTGTCAACACTCCGAAGTACAATATGAACTTTCCTTGATAATTGCTGCAGTCTGATTTGTTCATACCATTAGATGTTTTCTTGATAAAATAACCATGGATGATTGGTGACCCTACCATTTTTGGGTCAAGGAATCCGATTCTGACATTCCCCAAGCTATAGAATGATCAGAATATCGAAATTGGGGATGTGCTCCTCATCATTTGCAAAATGATTTGCTTATATCTCTTCCAATACATTTTGGATAAATATGGGAATTTGTACAAATGATTATATAATATATATCATTTAATAGATAACAGGAATACCTTCTCCAACCACTAGAAATGCGTAATACAAGGTATATCTCCTCCATCCCCTATTACTCTTTTTTAACATGTATTTTTGTAGGTTTTCTTTAAATCCTTGTGTTATATGAGGTAGTAACAATCCCAGTCTCATCCGAAGCTCAGAAAATAAAATAAACCATATGTGCACCCCAATCCTCTCTTAAAAAGCTAATGTGCTCATTTAATCCTGGTAATAAAATGTACCACAAGTGCTATAGAAGGATTGTTTAGGGGTTTTCAAGGTCAGGAAATTCATTGGTGAAGTTCCCTGGTCGATACAATGCATGTATCACCCTAAAAAACCCCAAAAAGCAAATATTGCAGCCATTTTTGCGAAATTACCTATATTACACACTCTCCAGAGGCCCCATACCTCATTAGTAGGTCCGCTTTTATGTTATTTAGGTTTGTGAGTATTCTAGTACCATTCCCTGACCAACCGAGCACCCAGAAACCAGCCTAAATCTTATTATGACCGGAAAATAGCCCCTATGATGCCATCATTTGGTTGCGTCCAGCTGATTTCAGCTAGATATTGATGGGATGACTTCACAGGCTAATTATAGATTTTTATGAAAGGTCCCACGGAAAATTCTGGCCCATCCCGATGGGAAATGTGCCTAATAGTTGAGAAAATGCGGATTTAGGCTGGATTTAGGCTCTCATACATGTGTATACTTATCAGGCCTACAGACCTCACAGGATTGTGTACAATTTAATTCCTGAGCCTACAGGAAATTGTATACAAGGCTGGCCTTATGAGGTGTATAGGTGACTACTCCTAAGACCTAAGTACTTTGTCCTTATATGGTTGATTAATCTTGTTCCATTGAATTGGTCATACTAACAATGCACTTCCCTGTGTCTGATTACTATAAATGGTATTTTGAAATTCAGAATGGCATATGTCTGAAGCACGACCATTAGGCTTTCTATACCTTTATTCCCCTTTATTCAATGTTGACGCCTCAGGAGCCACCCATCGAATCCCTCTGAGATTCTATCTGATATATTCCTCCTTGCAATCAAGAGACCTTACAGTATTTTCAGAGACCTATGTCAGGGACCATGGCTACTAGGGAGGGTCTGTCGGTGATGGCGCGACATCGCATGGGCTTGTCCTGTGCTGTGGTCGTCCTTTTTAGTGTGTTGGCTGAAACATGGACAAGAAAACATTGGAGTTGTGTTACGGTTTATTCTTTTCTTTTTCCTTTCTTACGCATTTTTGCTTACTCTATGCTGTGATCCTGATCGGACTTTCTCACAGTACTATTTTTAGTTTACTCAACGTGTATTTAAGCAGAGCCTCAGCTGGTCTAAAACCCAGCTTCGGCTAAGGTTTAATCTACCTAACTCAAAGCTCCCTGTTTCGCGACTATCTAAGTTCGCGACTGACTCTCTTTCAATCTACTTTGACCTCTCTTGTATCATCCACCGAAGTGCGAGTGACGATCCCGAGTTGATCTAAGTCGATAAGAGTTAGTGGCTAACATTTAGCCAAAGCTCGTCCACACGTCGCCCAGTGCCACGTCAGAGAACGAACGCTGCTCGACGACTTTACACCATTGTATTCCCTAGTTGACCGAAACGGTCGCTA